GCCAATAAAAGCAACACATATACAGAAGGACTACCCATACCAAACTGGGAATTTTTTTTAATATTTATTTATTCATTCATTATGTATACAGTGTTCTGCCTGCGTGCGTGCCTGCCGACCGGAAGAGGGCACCAGATCTCATTATAGATGGTTGTGAACTACCATGTAGTTGCTGGGAATTGAACTCAGGACCTCTGGAAGAACAGCCAGTGCTTTTAACCTCTGAGCCATCTCTCCAGCCCCCCTAATTGGAAATTTTTTTTTTTGATTTTTCGAGACAGGGTTTCTCCGTAGCTTTTGGTTCCTGTCCTGGAACTAGCTCTTGTAGACCAGGCTGGCCTCGAACTCATAGAGATCCGCCTGCCTCTGCCTCCCGAGTGCTGGGATTAAAGGCGTGCGCCACCACCACCCGGCTAGTTGGAAATTCTTAAAGGGGAAATTTTGTTTTTTAAAAGAAGTTCTTTCCCATGTTAAAAAATAAGAAACAAGGGGGAGGGAAATGAGAGGTGGTGGCAGGGAAGAGACAGAAATCTTTGATAAATAAATAAATAAATAAATGAAAAAAATAAAAAAGAGAAACATTATTATAATGGAGGGAGTTAGGTCTCTGTGTGATTGCACAATGGATGCGTTAAAATTGGAACAATTAAATGAAGGGATTATCAATTTTACCAGGATTGACATGTTAAGTATAATTTTGATAATTTTTATTGTTGGTTTGATACTCCTTCGTATATCCTTTTATAAGGTTGTTGATAAGAGTGCCAAGATACAGGTCTTAGAAAACTTATTAAAACAGATCATAAATATATTTAGACCCAGACAGAGTAATTTAAAGGGGAACCAATCTCAGCATTGAACTTTAAGGTTAGAGAGGAACAGCCTAAAGCTTTCAAACAGGCAACTTTAATTTATCCAGTAATCTTACAGGAACAACTGCCAAATGATAGATATCCCCAAGGCTGTGCAAGAGCTGAGTGGACTCCTAGGGAAGTTTTGTTTTTTTTTTGTTTTTTGGTTTTTTTTTTGGTTTTTCGAGACAGGGTTTCTCTGTGGCTTTGGAGCCTGTCCTGGAACTAGCTCTGTAGACCAGGCTGGTCTCGAACTCACAGAGAAATATTATATTTCAGGAGATTCAAGGAAGTGATAATCTCATATGGAACGCATTCACCTTTTGTAAAGCAGATGTTAAACTCGTCAACTTGTAATAAAATTATTACTCAAGACTGGAGAGATTTGGTTACAGCAGTCTTGGAGCCTGGATTTCATTTATAGTGGGGGACCTGGTGGAAAGATGAGGCTTCGACTATTGAACAATGACGTAGGGCTAGAGGAATGAAAATCTCCCAAGACCAACTTCTTGGAGAGACAGATTATGCTAACGTATATACAAAGGCAGTCTCTATATGATGACCACACGTTGGGTACAGAAGCTTTGAATGGTTGGGGCAGAATTGGAAAAGTAGGAAAGAAAATTGCGTCATTTACTAGCATTATACAGATCCCAGAAGAAACTTTCACAGGTTTCTTACAAAGACTGACTTCGGCAGTAAATAGAATGATAGACAGCAAGTTCAGAAGCTAGACAAATAAGAATTGAATCTCTGGCTTTTGAAAATAATTATGCACAATGCAAAGGGATAATTAGGCTGTTACAGACAAAACCAGAGAGATAGAATCAGTATTGAATCTCATGACCATGATGATGCTTGGATAGGAAAGGTGATTTCCAGAGGTTTGAAAAAAAATAGAAATGTCAAATGTTATAATTGTGGCAAAAAAGGTCACCTTAAAAGGGATTATAGACAGAGTGTTCCTAGAAACAATGTTTTTTCTTTTTCTTTTAGATTTATTTATTTATTTTCTTTACAGTGTTCTGTCTGCATGTATGCCTGCAAGCCAGAAGGGGGCACCAGATTTCATTACAGATGGTTGTGAGCCACCATGTGGTTGCTGGGAATTGAACTCAGGACCTCTGAAAGAACAATCAGTGCTCTTTTTTTAGAGCTGGCTTTGGAGTTGGAGTATGGCTCTCTCCTTCTAGAAATCCAAGCATTCTTGTTGAAGTAAAATCCCAAATTTCTGTCTCATGACAGAAGAGCCACCTGATATGAAAGAGGAGAAAAGCCAAAATTTTGGAACTATTCTATTGCACTAATCTCTTAATCCTTTAGTTTTATTTTGACTCTTTAAAGCTTTTCTTAAGGTATAACTATTATCTCAGAATTTTCAATATATATATATTTTTTAAAATTTTTGTTATGATATTAATGGTTTTATAGAGTACTAATTAATTCTAGAAAAAGGCCTCCTCTAGTTTCCTGTACATGATTTTGGGTTTGAGTCTCTATTGGGTAACTAGAAATTAAATTTTTGTACTCTGGATGTATGTACATAATGAACTATGATCCTTTAACCTCTTTGAGATCTGCTGCATATCTCATTTAAAATATTTAAGTTTTCTGCAGTTCGCCAATATCATACCTAATAGCGACTTTTGAAGTTTCCAAAAGGAGCATGAGGCCCCACAATGATGATTCCATCAGTCCTAGGCAAACACCACTAAGCTGAAAACACCACCTAAGGATTGGCTTTGGACTACAAACTGCTCAGGACAATTTCTATGTGGCTAGTGATCTAACCTAACAGACTACTCTACCCAGGACTTGAGACAAGCCCTACACTTTCCCATTACACAGAGACTTGATAACCAATGATAGAGCTTCCTCTCCCAGGACTTGGCAATTAACCCAGATTTTTCTTTTTAGGATCCCCTAAAGATACCATTGCCCCCAGACAGTGGAAGTAAATTTGATAACATGACACCCACATTCTCAAGGGCTGGGAATGGGTGGGTGGTTTTTGGTCTTTCATTTGGTTATGGAATTTGTTATTGTTTAGGGGGATTGGTTAAAAGTTGTTATTGGTAATGGTCAGGAAAAATGCTAAACAAAGGGGTTTAGATCCAGGGTTCTTGTTTTGAAAAGAAAAACAGGGGATATAGATATGATAGGATGGATAGGTAGATGATTGAGTCTACTCTGAAAAGAAAAAGGAGGAGATATAGAAATATCATAAAAAGGTAGATTATTGAATCTACTTTTAAACCAAAAACAACTATTAGTTTTAAATATTTTGCATTGATATGAATTTTTGTAATTGATATAAATTTAAGATTATTTTTGTTAGAACATACTGTATGTACGTTTTTAATCTTTTTTTTTACATTTTTAATCTTTTTCAAGGTATTGTAACTATATAACTCACTTAGCAATATATTAGAAATTTCTAGTCCTTGAAAGTTAACATTATCAACTAATTAGGGTATAAAGAAATGCAAGTTAGTAGTTAGTCATTACAATCAAACTTGTATCATATTAGGTATGTTTTCAAAATAAAACAGAGATATATTTTAGATAGACAGGTTGTCTTCAAACACTTCAGAGATCTGCAGATTATGGCATTTAAGATGTTTTAATAACATGTTTCTTTTTTATATATGACAATGAGACATGTCTATGCCTCACAGCACCAGTCTACTTCAGAGAGGATGATGGGCATCAAAGAAACTCCATATGGAGTTTACTTTCTTTGTGGCAAAAGTAAGCCATTGGGCAAGAAAGTGCTCTTGCCTTGACTGCTGACAGTGTACTCTCCAAATTGGACAAGCAGGGCACAAAAGAAAGTGATTGCCAAACTTTGCCAAGACAAGCCCTTAACTATATTCTGCTTAACAAAAAAGTCTGTCAGATATGCTAGGCCTGTAGGCTGAGGATGGATGCTCCAATGTTGCAGAGGAACCTTGGGTGACTATCCAGGCAGCCAGCTGTTTTTGTCATTTCTCATGTTTTTTTTGGAGAGAAACTATTACCTGCTTACTCTGGTAATATTATTTTCTTCTCAGGTCAGATGGATTTGAAGACTTTAAAGTTATAGTTTTCTTTTTTTACTGGATTCAGAACTAAATTCACTAAAGAGGTGTAAAGTGTGTAAAGGTTGAGAAACATTAAAAGATAGTTTGGGTATTGCAAGTTAGAACAGAAAGTGAATTAGGTACAACCTTTTGAACTCATCAAGATAGGATAGATATGGAGTATTTTCTATGAATTTATCATTTGCTAATGGACTAGACTTATTATACTTATTGCCTATATATTGTATATAGTTATTTTACTTATTGTATATAGTTTTTCTTATATTAGTTATAAGCTTTTTTATTTTAGGCAAAAAAGGGGACAAATGCTTGCCTGAAGATCAGCAGGCGGAGCTAGCCACTAGTTAACCGTAGAGGTCTGGAGGTCTGTACAGACAGACAGGAAGTGATATGGCTGGGCAGAAAAAGGAATATAAGGTGGGAGGAGGCAGGAATTCAGCCCTTTTTCAACTAAGGAGTTAGCAAAATAAGAGTTGGCTGTTTCTTGCTCCTTTGTCTCTTACCTTTCTGCATTTACTCCCATAATCTGGCTCTGGGTTTTTATTATTAAGACCAAATAGAACTCTTGCAACAGTTTTGTGGGTTTTGTTGTTGTTTGCATGCTTGTTTTGGTTTTTCATAGCCCTGCATAGCCCTGACCGCCCTAGAACTCTCTCCTTATTCCAGCTTGGCCTTGAACTCGGAGATCTGCTGGCCTCTTACCTCCCTAGTGCTGGAATTAAAAGCGTGCTCCACCACCACCTAGTGGGGCTTATTATTTGGTAGGTGTAAAGTTCCCACTTCACAACATGAAAATAATTCTGGAAATGGATGATGACTATGCATTATGGATATACTGTACCAAAATGTATGCAAAATCATAATTTGGGCTTCTATTAATAGTAACAGTAATAACAGTAAGGCAGAGATCCTAGACTCATTTGTTTTCTGACTTGTACACATTTCCAGCCCGGAATTTATATGCTGCAGCCCAGGGATCTAGTTTCATGTTTCCGGCTTTACATCTAGTTTTCTTTTTTTCATCTAAGTGCCTCTGGTGATTTGTTTTTGGCATGTCCTCCTTCAGGGAAAGACTGAGTCTATCACTGTGGTGAAGCTGCTGAGCTGCTTTGATGACCTTGTGGCAGCAGGCACTGCCTCTGGGAGGGTTGCTGTTTTCCAGCTCGTGTCTTCCTTGCCGGGGAGGAACAAGCAGGTGAGTGCTCAGGTTCTAGCACTGCTTCCCTTCTTGGCAGGGTCCTCATGCATCTTTAAGATGAGAAATCCTCAGAGCTGGGTGTGGTGGGCACACCTTTGATCCTTGCACTCCCAAAGCTGAGACAGGTGGGTCCCACCTGGTCTACATAGTCAGAAAGGTGTGGTGATACTTACCTGCTTAGAAATCACGTGATTCAACATGACATTGTGCTGCTTATAACTAGGTGATGTCTTTGTCCCTGTGTGGGGTATTGATCATAAAGCACAGATCAGTGCTCTTCTTTTTACTTATTTCCTTGTGTGCTCTTTGTGAGGCTTTTTAAAAAATTGTATTTGTGTGTGTATGTGTGTGTGTGTGCGCGCACACACATACACAATGTACTACAGTTCATGTATAGAGGTCATAGAACATCTTGGAGGAGTCAGTTCTCTTTTTCTACCACATGAGTTCCAGAAATCAAACTCACATCCCCAGGCTTGGCCACAGTTACTGTTATCCAATGAGCCATCTTGTTGGCCCATCTCAGTTTAGTAGACATAGGGAACCTTGTGAACAGTTCTATGTGGAAAACCAGCTCCTCCTAGAGGAGGAGTGACATTCCCATAACTGCAGTCACTCACCTCTCCTTTCCTGTGCTCTGTTGTCACCTATAGCTTCGGAGATTTGATGTCACTGGTGTTCACAAAACCAGCATTACAGCTCTGGCTTGGAGCCCCAATGGGATGAAGCTGTTCTCCGGAGATGACAAGGGGAAGATCGTCTACTCCTCTCTCGATCTAGACCAGGTGAGGTGATTTTCAGAGATCTGTAGCATATTGCCGTCTTGCTTCCTTTCCAGCGGCTCGTGCTCTCCACCACTGTGCCTTACACTGCCAAGTGTCACTTACAGAGTTTTCTCTTGGACATCGGCAGCGTTTTATAAACTTCTACAGTGACTAATGAGGTGGCCTGCAAAACCAACAGTAAAAATTGTACGTACTTGAGTCAGACGTGATGCTCTGTAATTTCAGCACCTGAGAGCTGAAGTAGGAGGGTCTTCTTGAGGTTAAGGCCAGCTTGGGCTGCATAGGAAATACCAAGCCAGCTAGAGTTGAATAGTAAAAGTTTGTCCAAATGAATAAAGGAACAAGTTGTACAAGTTTCTAGTCATGTCTGTGGACTGAGGGTAGTGATCCAGTGAACAGAGAACTTACCTCCAGCCAACACAGAAGACCTGTGGGAGAGGTGGTAGGAGGAAAGACTTGACAGTAGCATCATGTTCTACCTCCATCACATGTCACTTTAGATGCCCCATCATAGCACCTGGGCTGTCTATCATTTAAACTTTTTTTTTCACTTTTATTTATTTTATGTGTGGGGCTTGTGACCTTACACACTTTCCACAGTGTTTGTGTGGAGGTCAAAGCACAACTTGCAGCCGTCATCTCTCCTTCCACCGTATGGGTCCTAGGGATCAAACTCAGGTCATCAGACTAGACAGCAAAGCACCTTTACCCACTGGGCCATCTTGGCAGCTTCTCAGTATGTTCTTATTTCCAGGATTCAATCCAGGGGCACAAGCACAAACCTAGCAGACTCATTTCAAATAGGTTCTGCTCCAAAGCCTGTGGCTTTCCTTCTGCAGGTCAGGCTTTATGATGCCCATTTTTTGTTTGGCCATGTGCCTGCCAGATGGACTAAACATTTGATGGACTACCCGTTTTTCCTCTTCATTCCCTGTGTTAGATTCTAAGAACTTAGTGGAATTTGTTTATTTGGTTTTTGTTATGTTTTGAGATACCCACTATGCCTAGCAGAACTGGCTGTTTTATTAGCCCTCTAATTTAAGACAAATTCTCCCTAGTAGTAGTTTCTAAGCTTTCTGGCCTCAGACCTTTTGTGCTCTTAGAAAGATAACCCCAAAAGTTTTTGTTTTGTATGGATTATATCTATAAAATATACCCTATTGGAAATTAAAGCTCAGGCTGGGCGATGGTGGTGCATGCCTTTAATCCTAGTACCCAGGAGGTAGAGGCAAGCAGATATTCTGTGAGTTTGAGGCCAGCCTAGTATACAGAGCTAGTTCCAGGACAGCCAGGGCTATGCAGAGAAATCTTGCTTGAAAAAAACCCAAACCAAAACAAACAAAAAATTACATGGAATTTCCTTTCTCTTCCCTTCCCTTCCCTTCCCTTCCCTTCCTTTCCTTCTTTCCCTTTTTCCTTCCCCTCCCTTCCCTCCCTCTCACCCCCCTCACTCACTCTTTTTTTTTCTTGTATGTGACCTAATGAGTTTAATTAGGGCTGCTTACATAAACATGAATATCAGAGGTTATTTACAATAGCATGGACAATGTACTAGTGACTACACCACTGAAGAAAATCTGTCTCTCCCCAAGCAATCATTGACTGCCAGTAGTTCCTTATGGGGAGGTAGGGTCTTGTGATTCCCTCCCCTGTCCATTTTGTAAGGTTGATGAGCCCAGTCTTACACTGGTCTTGTGTAGATAGTTGTAGCTACTATGAGTTTATGACCGTATTATGCCCAGAAAATAACATTTCACAATACTCTTCCCTATCTTGAGGTGCCTATATCCTTTCTGTCCCCATCTTCTGAGATGTTCCTTGAACCTTGAAGGGGATAATATAGATGTCCTATTTAGGGCTTGGCATTCAATAGTCATGTATTCTCAGCACTTTAACCAATTTTGAATTTTTGCAGTTAACTTCTACCCACTGGGGGGGGGGGCTTCTTTGACTAACACTAAGAGAAGCACTAATCTAAGGGCATAAACACAAATATTTACAAGGTAGTTTGACCCAGCAGTGGTGACGTATGCCTTTAATCCCAGCACTTGGGAGGCAGAGGCAGGCAGATCTCTGTGAGTTCGAGGCCAGCCTGATCTACAAGAGTTAGTTCCAGGACAGGCCCCAAAGCTACAGAGAAACCATGTCTCAAAAAACCAGGGGGAAAAAAAGGTAGTTTTATGGGTATGACATGTCCATTTAGCAAAAGTACAACAATAGCTTCCCTGCCAATGCCTATGACCTTTCCAGCTATGGGCTTTTGACCAGATTTAGAATAGCAGGCATGAATTCCTTCCTGTGATGTGGGCTTAGACCTAAGCAGAAACTGGTTGGTTACCCCTGTAATAATCACACCACTGTTGTACTAGTGCATACCATGCCTGACAGGTATGGTACACAAGGCCCAGAATTGGGTAGGGCTGATGACTTTTTTCTCTTGAAACCTGGATTGCACCACCTTTTGGCTCTCTGAAAACTAGGTGGCAAGGAGTAAGCTTCCAGCTCACTTCTTGATTTCTTTATGCCTGGTAACCTAAGCATGTAGTGTCTTCAGTAGTAGGGACTATCATCTAGTTTTAGTGGGCAGCCAAAAGCACTGGTAGGGTTGGAGAGATGCTTTCTTAATCAATGTTCTCTTGCTCTGAAGAGACACCATGATCAGGCAACTCTTATAAAAGAAAGCATTTAGCCGGGCGATGGTGGCGCACGCCTTTAATCCCAGCACTTGGGAGGCAGAGGCAGGCGGATCTCTGTGAGTTCGAGACCAGCCTGGTCTACAGAGCTAGTTCCAGAACAGGCTCCACAGCCACAGAGAAACCCTGTCTCGAAAAACCAAAAAAAAAAAAAAAAAGAAAGAAAGCATTTAGTTGGGGGCTTGCTTATAGTTTCAGCGGGAAGCAGACAGGCATGGCACTGCTGCAGTAGCTGACAGCTTTCTACCCTAATCTGTAGGCAGTAGGAAGAGGGAGGGAAGAAGAGCTTGGAATGGGTTTTTGAAACCTTAAAGCCCACTGCAGTGACACATTTCCTCTAGCAATGCCACACCTATATGATGAGCCTGTGTGGGCCATTCTTATTCAAACCACCACAGATATCTTAGAGATTAAGAGTGCTGGGTGCTCTACCAGAGGAGCTGGGTTCTATTCCCAGCACTCACAGTGGTAGTTCACAGGTCTCTGTAACTCAGTCCCAGGGGATCCAGCACCCTCTCTGGCATCTGGGAACTAGGCACCCAAGTGGTGCATAGACCTGCATCCAGGCAAAGCACTCATACACATAAAATAAAAAGTAATGGCAGTAGCATATATTGTTTCTAAGGCCTCTGAAGAGAGCACTCATAGAGAGGAGCCTACACTGTGGCCTCAAGGAGCAGCTCTATCACAGGGGGGTTTCTGAAACCCTTGGTGGGTTTTTCCTATCTTATTACATTAAAACTTGTTAGTTTATCTTCTACTTTGAGTAGATCTTTTACCCTTGCATAATTTTCAGTATCAAGTACCAGTCACTTAGTAGAATAGGAATCTCAGAGGGTGCTAATCTTCCAGATGTTGACACATGTATTATATAATATCAGAAGGCGGGGGCTGGTGAAATGACTCAGCAGTTGAGAGGAGCACTGGGTGCTCTTCCAGAGGACCTGGGTTCAGTTTCCAGCACCCACACAATGGCTCACAACTGTCCAACTCTAGTTCTATGTAATCTGACACCTTCTTCTGGGCTGTTGGGGCACCAAGCATACACTTAGTGCATAGGTGTTTGTGCAAACTAAACACCTATATTTCATAAAATAAGTAAATAAATAGTTTTTAAAAAGAAAGAAAAGTACCATTATTAATATCTTCATCATTCTAGTAAAAAATTCTTCAGCTTTTAGAATCTCGTCTAATTTATATAGATACAAGTTTTCTAGATTCTCATCTTCAGTTAAAGATAACAAATACTGAACCAACAGGCTCTCATTGTTTACATAGATAATGTCTGCCAATACCTCCTCATTCCCTGTAATTACAGTGTTTCAAGTAAAAATGGTGTGTGAAAACAGTATCTCATTTGAATTACACTCCTCCCATGGCAGAGATTTGTCCCCTCCCTCCCTCCCTCCCTTCCTTCCTTTCTTCCCTCCCTCCTTCCTTCCCTCCCTCCCTCTCTTCTTCCTTTCTTTCTTTTCTTTCTCTCTATTTATTTATTTTGGTTCTTTAAAACAAGGTTTCTCTGTGTAGTCCTGGCTGTTGTGGAACTTTCTCTTAGATCAGGCTGGCCTCGAACTCAGAGTTCCTCTCTGCCTTTGTCTCTTGAGTGCTTGGACTAAAGGCATGATGTGCCACCACCAGCTACAGGTTTGTCTTTTTTGTTTTTGTTTTTTTTCCTTGAGACCCATTGTGCATCATTTTTCAGAAGGTCTGTGTGTGCACATCCAATTTGTTGATATCTAGTGCAAAAGCACCATTCCTTAGGGGTGAAATTACCATTTTTCTTTATCAAGATGTTCTTCATTGGAACTCATATTTTTAGTGTGAGTGTGTGGTGGTGAATGGTGACCTTTGTAGTTTGGTGCAATGGTCCTGGTTCATAATGAGGTTCCAAGTGGCTCCATACACAGTGTTTCCTGTGCTTTCAGTGAAAGCACTTAGAGGGCATTTTGTTGGGCATGTCACATCTATTTAGCAAAGTGACAGTAGTGATGGAAAGGGCATGCGAATGGAGGGATGGTGTTAGTACCAAAGATGCAAGGAGAAAGACCATCAACCCAAATCATCGTGGCCAAATTAACTAAAGCAAGTGTTTTTAATTTGTGTACATAGGCTGTCTCCCTCTAAAGGTGGGGTTCAAGAGATCAGTGTTGAACATGGGCAAGAAAAGGGTTTTTATAGCACCAAGGTAAGGGGTTTCCAAATGGGCAATTTGGCACACAAATAGGCAAGAGTTACAGGAGCCGCATAACAAGGTTCAAAGGCATGGTTACCATTCCTGGAACAGGCAGTATGGAAGGAACCATTTGTAGTTAAGGTTGCAGGTGAGGCATAACCCAATCCTTGAGAAACAGATTTAATCATAAACGTGAATGAACCTAGTTTATCTTTACTATTAGATGACTTTAAGCCTAAGATGGAGGCAGACTGGTTAATCAGTGACTCAGAGGTTAGGAGCACAGGCTGCTTTACCAAAAGACCTAGGTTCAATTCCCAGCAGTCACATGATAGCTCATAACCATTTGTAACTCTAGTTCCAGGGGATCTGACACCCTCTTCAGGCCTCTGTGGCTATCAGGTACATATATGATTTACAGACATACATCAGGAAAAACACCCATATGCATAAAAATTTTAAGATAAAAGACGTATAACAACATCTCAGTATTCTATGAAATGTTTTTGGCCTGGCATATGCTATGAGAGAGTCTTAGTCTTAGGGACCTAGGGTTATGCAGACCCCACATAGAACAGCTGCTCTGTGGGAACATCTCTTGTCAAGGTTATCAAGTGTTCAGTCTGTAGAGCATGAGACTCTTAATCCCAGGGTCATGGGTTCAAGCCCCATGTTGGGCGCCACTCTGTTGTAGTGTAGAGCAGCAGACCGCTTCCTGCCGCCCAACTCCTGGCTAGCTTATGCCCGAAATAATCACACGGAGATCTGTATTAATTAAATTGCTGCCTGGCCCATTATCTCCAGCCCCTTATTGGCTAACTCTCACATATTGATCTAACCCATTTCTAATAAACTGTATTGCCACTTGACTGTGGCTTACCAGCATGAGCCTAACCAGTGCCTGTCTCAGAGAGGAGAGCCATGGTGTCTGCCACACTGCCTTCTTCCTCCCAGCATTCTGTTCTCTCTACTCCACCCACCTAAGGGCTGGCCTATCAAAAGGCCAAGGCAACTTCTTTATTTAACCAATAAAAGTAACACATAGACAAAAGACCCTTCTACACCAACTTGTGGCTCATCCTCCCCTCTCTTTGTGAGTTGTTTGCCGATGGAGCCCAGAGAAGGACACTGAGGGGAAGAGAGGCAGAAACAGGCTTTTTGATGCTGGGTCTTCATATATAGCCCAGGCTGGCTTTGAACTCACCACAAAGCCTGTCTCAGCCTCCTGAATGCTGGGATTAAAAGCATGTACCACTGTACTTGGATTAAAATTCGATTTCTGATACATGAATGTGTTTTGTATTAGCAGTAAAATGCCTTTAGAAAGTCACTGTGTGTCTAGTAAATGCTATAATCATGTATTTTAATACATTATGTGTGTGTAAGGAGGGGTGTGGAGAATTCAAGTTCATGTCAAGGTCAGAGGACGACTTTCAAGAGTCAGTTTTCTACTTCAATAACGGGTTCCTAGGGTTTGAACTCCGGTTATCAGACTTGTGTGACAAACCCAGTTTGTCTGCTTAGCCGTCCCATCAGCCTTCAATTTCTTTCTAACATCTTTTCTGTGACCCTTCTAGTTGAAGGATAGTGCCCGTAGGGTTGCTTGAGGCTCCTTGTGGAGAGACTGTGGGAGCAGGTCACAGTCACTGCTTTCATAGACAGTCATGCTCTCCTGTGTTAGAAGATACTTAGTATATGTGGTATGGCCTATTTCTATGGATTCTTCATTGAGTTATTTATAAGAAAACTATTAGAGAAATGTGTAGGTTTTTAATATTTCTTTTCAACCCTGGTATATTACGAGATATATATTAATATTACTGTTTTCTTGTTAGTAAGGAATCTTCCAAATGTCATAGCAGTAGGTTAACAATGAATCTGGAGAAAATTAAAATATACTTTTTGTTGGTTTTTTTTTTGTTTTGTTGAGATAGGGTCTCATGTAGCCCAGGCTTACTTCAGACTCACCATATGGTCAAGAATGACTTTGAACTCTTGATCTTCTTGCCTCAAGTGCGGAGATTATAGCTATGCACACCATGCTCAACACCACAGAATACTTTTGAGTTCAATACAGTTAGCAAGACGTATCTGCGTAAGCACTGTGAGGGAGGCTGGGCAGTTTTGACCCACCATGGCCTGGCTCTCTTGCAGGGTATCTGCAACTCACACCTTGTGTTGGAGGAGCCATCTTCCATTGTGCAGCTGGATTACAGCCAGAAAGTGCTGCTCGTGTCCACCTTGCAGAGGAGTCTGCTCTTTTACACCGAGGAAAAGGCTGTCAAGCAGATTGGATCCCAGCCAAGGAAGAGGTAAGCTTCAGGCATATCCATGTGGTTCTCAGTACTGGCCCTTAAGTTCTCCTAGGTTTCCTGGTAGCCAGATGTGAGACCACAGACACATCATCTGGGGTTCCTGGTAGCTTGTGCTTGCCAAAAGTGCTTCATGGAGCCTGATGGGAACAGGGAATCTTCTAGTTGAGGAGATTCAGGGGCCTGGGAGCATAGCCACTGCAACCCAGGACTGAGTCTGAGGAGCCTAGGAGACAGTGTTGTGTGTCCGCTCCAGGTGTGGTTTCTCTCTGTAGCCTTCTCTTGTGCACACTAGCAGGTTGGGCAGATGAGACTGGGTAGCCTAGCAGATGTGGACCTCTCCCATCATGGAGACCAAAAGACAGACCCATGACTAACTGATGGTCTTGCCAATGGCTTTGGAGTCCAGTTCAGAGTACTATAGAAATTTAAGCTGGGGCAGAGTGGCAGTGGTACGTGTCTTTAATCCCAGCTCTTGGGAGGCAGAGGGAGGCAGAGTTTGAGGCCGGCTTGGTCTACAGAATAAGTTCTAGAACAGTCAGGACTATGCAAGAGAAACCTTGTCTCGAAAAACAGAGCAAAGAAATTTAAGCAGGCTTCCACTCATCCTGGGGTCAGAGAAAAGTTTCTGCAGGTGTGAGGACTACGTGCCAAGTAGGAGAGGCTAAGAAGGGGATGGTTCTGGACTGAAAGAGTGTATCTGTCCTTTGATAACTGTCAGAGAAAGGACAACAAAGAGAAGGCTGAGGACCTAGGACTGCCGTAGAAGGAGCATATGCATCCTTCATATCACTGTCCTGAAAGGAAGGCAAAGACAAGATCTCATTGCCCTCTGTAGCGACTTTGTGTGGAGGTATAGGGTAAGGAGGTGAAGGACCTTACCTGGGAAGGAGGTCCGGGAAGGAGCCAAGTGTGTGTTGGAAGGTTGCTGTTAAATAGTTTTGGGAGTTAGAGGGTTCCCATCTTGTACCCTCCTTTCAGTAAAGGAATATTGTTTCCTGCATCGGTTTGGGATGGGATGGCAGTGGATTGGAGAATGTCAAGAGGATTTGAGACAGACTGGAGAGTAAGGAGACTGACAGGCATTGGGAGGGCCTCCCCGGGGCTGGTGGTGCCATTGGTGACAAGCGTGAAGGGAGTGGAGAGTGAGGTCAGACAGTCTGGTGCAGCCATGATCTGTCATTTGTCTTCTGTTTTGTGGCAACACTAGGTTTATTCTCTTCTCTGCTTGGCAGTCTTCCTGTTGGAAGATTCTCTCACACCCACTCTTTGGCTCCTGTGTTCTTTTCTCAATACCTTCTTAATGCCATCAATAGTCTGGCCTCTTTATAATAGGGATCTTCCTGTTGGCCCTGGAAACCTGAGATTATGCAGCCTGGTTCTGCAGAACTGAGTTCTGACTTTATCTCTGTGGATATCCCCTTCTGCTTGATGCCAAGTCCTAGCTCATTGGAAGAATTGAGGACTGTAAAGAAAGTCCTGGCTTCCTTATCTTGTTCTTGGAAACTTTCTGTGCCTGTCATAAGTATGGTATGGTAGGATCTCTTGGCAGCTGGTCCTTTCCAGCTAAATACCTTCTGTCAGCTCCCTCACAGAACCCCCTGAACACACAGACATCCTCAAAGCCAGCTCTCCGTAGGACCCCTCTTCATGATGCCCACCTCTCCTCTGCAAATGCCTGCTGTCCTGTGGGGTGAGCCCTGGTGAAGAGCTCATCTTCATCGCTCACACACATACCCTCTAGCATCACAGTTTTGTAGAAGGTTTCTGCTCACTGAGTACATGTTAAAACACATGCTCTGATAACATACAGTGAACAAAACAGAAGTGACAAAAGAGTAAAGAGGTCCCATAAATAGAAAGAAAACAGACTTAAAAATTGGATCCTCAAACAGATGATTTGACAGGTAAGAAGAAGCAGCACTGGGTTGCCTAACTAGTATTCCTTTGGGCTTTTTTGTTTAGGGGGCCTCACCAGAACAAACTCACTAAAGGCAAGAATCAGACACAGTCCTATTACATAGTTGTCTATAAAAACTCTGTGGACTCAAAACAGTTGATTAGTCTAATGATCTTTGTTCTAAGCTGCATCTGACATATGATATCCTCCCTGGATCCTTTCCACGGGGATTTAATTATTAAACTTCCAGTGGTGCCTAGGGAGACATGCAGAGGAGATTCCCCACCCCCAGATAACTATCCCCCTAGGGGTGATGGGGAGTGAAAGGAGATGGGCTGTGAATGGATGGGACAAGGTGGCTTCTCAGGCAGGAGGCTGAGAATGTCGCAGGCTTGGTTTTGAGCTGTACTGTAGCTTTTTCATTCAGTCTCCACTTGTTCCTGTGTATGGACGTTATGCTTCCTACAGATTAGCACAGGGAGATCTCAAAAGGTCAATAACTATACACTCAAGCCAGTGCCCTTTCTGTTGTCTACATTCAAGAAAGAACTGTTTAGGAAAAGAATCATCAAGGCTTAGAGTTGAGCTAAAGCTCTTCAATTTGAACTCTGGTAGAAACCTGAGCATTGATAAAGATATAAAAATCATAATAATTCAAATACCAGATGGGTAACACAGTGTCAGAGTACTTGCCTAGCATGGATGAGGCCCTGAGTTCAATCTCCAGCCATATGTGAAAGAAAAAGAAAAGGAACAAAATGTCTTAGGTGGGCTCAGTGGTACACACCTGTAGTCCCAGTTCTTGGGAAGTGGAGACAAGAGGATCAGAAGTTCAAGGTCATCCTGGGTTATATAGCAATCATTACAGACTAGCAAGTTCCATGCTAGTATTGGCTTCTTGAGATCCTATTTCAAAACCAACAAATTAACAACAGCAACACTCCAGTAATAAGATTGAATAAATTATTTAGTTTTAAAGATTTTATTTAGAGTTGGGCATAATAGTGCACATCTTTAATCCTAGCCCTCTGTGAGTTTCAGGACAGCAGGGCTGTTAGACAGAGAAACCCTGTCTAGGGGGCAAAGAAAGAGAGAGAGAAAGAGAGAGAGAAAGTTTTATTTAGTTGTTTTTAGTTAGGCGTGTGTGTTAATGTGAGTACAGATATCTGAGGAGGCCAAAGAGGGCATTGTTCCCCGGTTATAGTTTGTAAGCTGCCTTGGTGTGGGTGCTAGGCATTGAATTCAGGTCCACCATGAGAACAGCAAGTGTTCTTAACCACTGAAACATCTCTCTAGCCCCAGAATAAATTATTTTTAAAAAATGCTTCACATGTAACTCAGTAGTAGGGTGCTTACCTACCATGTTCAAGGCCCATGGTCCAATTTGAAGTACCATAAAAACTAAATAAGTATTAGATTTATAGATATGCATACTTTCCCAAACCCATGCATATTCCAGTATCCCAAGGAAACATTTTGTAGCAATATTTATGTACTTTTTAAAAATAATATAAAGCCGGGTGATGGTGGCGCACGCCTTTAATCCCAGCACTTGGGAGGCAGAGGCAGGCGGATCTCTGAGTTCGAGACCAGCCTGGTCTACAGAGCTAGTTCCAGGCCAGGCTCCAAAGCCACAGAGAAACCCTGTTTCGAAAAACCAAAATTAAATAAATAAATAAATAAAAATAATTTAAAGTCAGGTGTAGTGGCTATAGAATCGGAAAGTAAGACAGTAGAATTTTGAGTTTGGGGTCACTCTGAGATATACAATGAGATCTTATCTCAAAAGAGGGATAATTTTAAAAAATTGAATAAATTGCGAAAAAACTATTCAGCAGTCAAAATTAATAAGCACTGTCATTTCCTTTTTTAAGTCAAAGATTAAATCTTAGAAACAATGGTAAGTATTAAAGACAAGTTACTTAAAATTATCAAGTAGTGGGGTGTGTATGTGCACTCTATGTATTTATGTATGTGTGGAGGCGAGGGGTCCTTCAACAGTGAAGAGCACATAACTGTTCTTACTGAGGCCATCTTCTGGCCTCCACTGGCACTTGCTCTCATGTGTATGCAAACACATGCAAAAGCACACAATTAAAAAAAAAATATGCTGGGGACTAGAGAGATGTCTCAGGGTTACAAACACTGGCTGCTTTTCCAGAGGACCCGAGTTCAATTCCCAGTAACCACATGGTTACTTACAACCATCTATAATGAGATCTGGTGCCCTCTTCTGTCATGCAGGGATACATGCAGGCAGCTGTACATCATAAATAAATAAATCTAAGACCGGGTGGTGGTGGTGCACTCCTTTGATCCCTGCACTCAGGAGGCAGAGGCAGGCAGATCTCTGAGTTTGAGGCAAAAAAGAGAGAGAGAAAGAAAAAAGAAAAGAAAAAAATTATCCCCTAAATTAAAAATATTTTAAAAAGTCAAGCTATAAAATTATACAGATGGCATCATTCATTAAAATAAAAGTGCTAAATTGGTGTTGGGGTAAATAAATATGTGCTTGACGACGTATCAATAAAAATGAGAGTGAGAGCTCAGCCGTTAAAGGCTAGGCTCACAACTAAAAATGAGTGATACACATAAAATTTAGTCCATTGGTGTGAATTTTGGCCAGGACAAATTATTAGGAACCCAAAGTGCATGCATGATGCACCTGTTGACTTGTTCTGGTGGTAGAGGATGCGTCCCTGGTGCACATTACATTTATTGCAAACACTCTTTTTTGTTTTTTGGTTTTTCGAAACTGGGTTTCTCTATGTAGCTCTGACTGTCCTGGAACTTACTCTGTAGACCAGTCTGGGCCTCGAACTCACAGAGATCCACCTGTCTTTGCCTCCCTAGTGCTGGGATTAAAAGTGTGTGCCAACACTGCCCAGTACAAATACTCTTTTAAAATTTTTTGTTGTTGTTAAATTTGTTTATTTTATTTATTTAAATTTTTTTGGGGGGGCAGGATTTCTCTGTATAGTTCTGACTGTCCTAGAACTTGTTTTGTATACTAGATTGTCCTTGAACACAAAGATCTGCCTGCCTCTGCCTTTTGAGTGCTGGGATTAAAGAAGTGTGCCACTACTGCCCAGCAATTTTTTAAAAATACTTATTGCTGTGTGTGGTTTTGAACACCTTTAATTCCAGTATTTGGGAGACAGAGGCAGGTAGAGTTCTGTGAGTTTGAAGCCAGTCTGGTCTACAGATCAAAACACCAAAAAAATTATTTTATGTATATGAGTATTGTTCCTGCATAAATGTATATGCAGCACATGAATTCCTGGTACCTGAGTAGGTCAGAAGTGGGCATCAGATCCCCTGGAACTAGAGTTACAGCTCATTGTGAGCCCCCATGTGGGTGCTGGGAACCAAATCGGGGTCCTCTACAAAAGCAACAGTACTTTACCACTGGGCCATCTCTCCAGCTCCCGCATATACTTTACCACTGTACTTTACCACTGGGCCATCTCTCCAGCTCCCGCATATACTCTTCTGTGTGGGTTGGTATGTCATAGTTTTATAAGAATACCAAGCTTGAGAATGGGAAGAGAAACTGGTACACTTGATGGCTTTGGGGAAACTTTGAAAGAGATATGGATGAGCTACTCTAGATGTAAAGCTTGTCATTCAAGAAGCAAAGCAGACCACAGGCTCAGACTTCAGAGCAGCGTTAGCAGGGACGGCCCTACATTCATCACATTCTGTTCTGTAACAGAAATTATAACAGTTGCCTCATGAAATTGCAGCAAGGATTAAAGGGAGAGTGGACGGAAGTATGGGACACAGGCAAGCTGCAGTGGGCACCGTTGATTGTCCTCAGAACCTAGGCTATACAGCTCTGGGTGCTGTGTACTTGTGAAGGCGTGGTGGGGCCTGGGTCGCACAGGGTGCCAGGCGACTTAGTGACTGACACACAGTAGACAGAACAATGATTTGTGTTAGTCTGCAGATTCTTAGAGCTGATATTAGGAGCTGACAATTATATCTCTTCAAGTCAGTCCATGCCTGTTTTGTTTTTGTTTTTGTTTTTTTCTTTCTTTCTTTCATTTTTTTCTTCCGATTTTAGTACTGGGAAATTTGGTGCTTGTTTTATACCAGGACTATGTAAGCAAAGTGACCTAACCCTGTATGCAGCCCAGCCTGGGCTCCGGCTGTGGAAGGCTGATGTCCATGGGACCGTTCAAGCCACGTTTATCCTCAAGGATGTCTTTGCTGGAGGAGTCACACCTTTTGAGCTCTACCCTCGTCTGGAGCCCTCTGATGGGGGAAGTTGCAGCTCTCCTGAGAAACACCTGGGGCTCGTTTCGTGCTTCTTCCGGGAAGGCTGGGTGTTGAGCTGGAATGAGTACAGTATCTATCTTCTGGACACCGTCAACCAGGTGTGTGGGAGAACTGCACCTGCTGTGGGGTCACAGGGCAAGAGGAGGGTGCAGGTCCATAGGTGTTCAGCCGTTGGGCTCCTGGAAAGAGGACAGGAGCAGCATTAACTGATGCTTACTTGTTTTTTTCTTTTCCTTTGAGACAATCAAGGAAATCAAATGGAGCTCGGTAATTTTTGTAGATTTGAAAAATAATTTGCTTTTGACATCCATAGTCCTACTCTCCCAAGAAATTAGATGTTTCTGGGGGAGGTCTTTAAAGCCCCAAATTAAACATGTTCATTATAACCTTTCTAGGTTGTTTTTTAAAATTATATTTATTTGTGTATGGTGTATGTGTATGTTTGCACACACGTGTGCAAACTTGTGATCACACTTGTGTGTCCTAGCACTTATGCAGAGGTCAGAGGACAACTTGTGGAGTTGTTTCTCTCCATCCACATCAGGTCCCAGGGATTGGACTCGGGTCATCTGGTCTGATGGTCAGCACCTTTACCTTTGCTGCCAAGCCTCTCACGAACCCACCCTTCCCATCCATCCATACTTGTCTGTATGTATTCATGTATGCATACTTTTTTTTGTTTGTTTTTGAATTCAGGGTATTTGCGCATGTTAAGCACATGCTCTGCCTCTTAGCTACACCCCTCACTTCTGGGTTGTGTGTTTTGTTTTAGTTTGACATTTTGCAGTATGTGGGGTTGAACTCAGGGCTCATGAATGCTAGTCAAATGCTCTACCACTGAGTTATATCATCAGCCCTGTTTTGTTTTGTTTTTTACTTTTTATTTTGAGATGGGACTCACTAAGCTACCCAGGCTTGTCTTGAACCCTTACTGTAGCTCAGGTAGACCTTAAACTTGATCGCCTTGACTCAGTCTGCCAAGTACCTGGGATTACTCCTGTGCTACTCAGACACGACAGAAACTCTGAGGACTAACTCCCAGGCCTCACACGGGTGGTACCTTTCCAGGAACAGGGTCCCCCCACTCCAGTGTGCTCATCCCCTGTTGCTGTTTTTGGTTTTTTTCTTATTTTACTGTGCTTCTTCTTATCCAAAGTCAGCTATATTATTTTGCCTTTTTCCTTTTCTTTTATAAACTTACTAGCATATCTTAGCAACTTCCCAGGATCGTTAACTCACGGTAGAAAACAAGTTATGCCTGAATCAGGGTGATAAAAGGTCACTCCTAGAATCTGATTTAGGACTTTAAATAAAGTTGTTTGGTTTCAGTTACTTCTTGTTCTAAGATCAGAGCTTCTGGCCTGCCCCCCTCCCTACTCCGCCTCCAGAATCCAGGCCAGGCTCTCTTCCTCCACATGAGCTCTGTGGGCCTGTGGCACAGCATCTTTAGAGAGAGCATCCGCAGAGAATCAAAATCACTTGCCCCCATTGACACCTCCCTAGCTACCAGCCGTGCTTGATGACGCTTGGTGCAGAGGTAACTTGGCGCTGTAAGGGGTCGTCACCTTCTAACCCTTCACTTGTTTATTTGGATTCTCCCATTATAGATGACTTAACTTTTCTCCTGGGTTCCTGTTGAACTTCTTAATTATTGGCTTTAAGACATGTTGCAATTATGCATCAGTTCTTTTCATCTGAGCACTTCCCCTGTGCCTCTCATCGCAGTTATAATTAACTTCACTTCATATGCAGGGAAATGGAGACACTGTGTCCGAACAGACACTGCCTCCACCATCAGAGTCTGCCCCTCCCTGAAGCACCATGATTGGCAGCTTTGGGAACCTAGTGTTTTGTTTCCAGCTTTCTGTCAAGGCTGCCTAAAAATTAGCCTAGGTTCAGTCTTTCCTGCGGTGAACTAATCTTTCAAGCATACTGTCAACTGAAAAGCAAGAACTGGTTTAGATTTGTGTGGACTCAGGAAAGTCCTTTGCAGTACCACCTGCTTTGAGGCAGGCATCTTTTTCCTTCTTTCCTTCACTCAAAAGTCTCCCATAGGAAGACACACAATAGGAGCACTTGTTGGCTGGTGTATCACTCCTAGCCAGTCCAAGAGAGATGCATGGCAGAGGTTTGTGCTGTCGACCATTGAGGAGTCTTAGTCGTTGCTCAAGATGGCAGTGCTCAAGCAGCACTTGCTGAGGCTGAGGCTGAGGCTGAGGCTTCCCAGTGATTAGGAAAGGAAGCTCAGCAGGAGAAAACCTGTGCTGTGTGCATAGCCCACAAGGAGCAGGCTAGGCTTTGGCACAACATAGGTGGGATGCCAGGCAGGTCAGAATGTCCAGACCTCCTGCCCTGACAAGGAGTGTGAGCTTCGTGTCATAAGAAGGCTGAGAGCAGCAGCTCCAGGAAGAGAATGACTGAGAGGTGGGAGAAACTGTGCACCTCAGTGGCCCCAGCATGGCACCTCAGTGCTGAGTTATGTGGCTTATGTCCCAGATATCAAATACTACCCAACTATGGATTAAATTACTTTTAAGAGTTCTCCAGAAACTGCCATAATAAAATCCAACAATTACAGTTATTTGGATTATCACACCTGCTTGATTATGGTTTTGTTTTTATTGCCTTGTTTCATATTTGTTTGTTTTTGACAGGCCACCGTTGCTGGTTTGGAAGGACTGGGTGATATTGTGTCTGTTTCCTGCACAGAAAATGAAATATTTTTCCTAAAGGGAGATAGGAACATTATAAGGATTTCAAGCAGGCCTGAAGGACTGGCATCCATAGGTTTGTATTCACCGCAAGTATGCTGTTCGTGCTGAGTCCTTACCACAAGTCCTGCTTGTGGTAAGATAAATGCAGTTTAAAACAGCAGAGTGCCTTTATTCCCAGCATTCAGGGAGGCGGAAGTAGGTGAGGCCAGCTGGCTCTTCAGAGGAAGTTCCAGGACAGCCAAGGATACACAGAGAAACTCTGTATTGAAAAACAAAACCAAATAACAACAACAACAGAAAGACAAAGAAAGAAGAAAGGAAGGAAGGAAGGAAGGAGAGAGAAAGGAAGGAAGGAAGGAGAAAGAAAGAAAGAAAGAAAGAAGAAAGAAAAGAAAAGAAAGAAGAAAGATAGATAGTTTGGGGTTTGCTTAAACATGGAAGTATTTGGAGGCTTAGGATCCTGAAAACGTTCAGGATGCTTGTCATGGAAATGTCCTCTTTAAGATAAATACCAGGCAGTCTTACTGTGGTGCAGCTGCCTTTAAATGTGAAGGTGTGTGGTTGAGTGAGTAGGGAAGAGAAACCAGAAACCACTTTCCTGGCCCCAGGTGTCCTGTCTGAGGTACTGGGTGTAGTTAATGTCTCTGAGACACAGATCTGTAGAATTTTAAAACAATGAAACTTGTAATCTGATATATATATCTTGCCCTAGACATAGCCTGGCCTTTGGGATTGATGTTTTCCCCTGTGCTTTGTTGTTTGTTTTTGTTTTTGTTTTGTTTTTGATACAGGGCTTCTCTGTGTAACAGCACTAGCTGTCCTGGAACTTGCTTTGTAGACCGGGCTGGCCTTGAACTCACTGAGATCTGCCTGCCTCTGCCTTTCAAGTGCAGGAATTAAAGGCGTGCGCCACCACTGCCAAGCTCATGTGTCTTTTTGACTGCTGTTACATGGCACTTGTGCAGAACATGGTACCTAGTAGATACCTGATAGTGAAAGGATAGCTGCGCTTGTCGAAGTGCACAGCAGTTTCTTGCTGACGGTGTTAAAATCGAGGCCCTAGCCCTGGAGACCTCAGTAGTGCTATGTTGAAGGAAGGGAGGCGCCACTGCGGGGGGACATTTACTGGCTCTTTATCACAGGGACCCATGTTACCCTGCTTTCTGCTTGCATTGACACTGACCTCCTATGTTCTTCTCTGGTGAACCTATCCTATTGGGAATTTCACTTCTCTTCCTTGAATTTCAAGGAATTTGATTATAAGACACATGCATTTTTAATGTCTCTTAAATATTACGGTATAATGAAGGCATAGTATAAATAGGAAATTTAACGTAACTGTTCTTGAAACAGAAAACTTGATAAAGAACTTGTAAAATGGAAATGAGAAGTGCTTTATGTTTCGTGGTGTTCTGTTACTGGTAATGTTTACAAAAGACAACTGCAGTTCATTATTTTACTGATTTTAATATATGAGCTGGCTGAAGCACAAAGGCCCCTTGATTCTCTCTGGGTTTGGGCTATTTGGAGTTACTCAGTTTTTTTTTTTTTTTTAAATATTTTATTTATTTATTATGTATACAATTTTCTGTCTGTGTGTATGCCTGAAGGCCAGAAGAGGGCGCCAGACCTCTTTACAGATGGTTGTGAGCCACCATGTGGTTGCTGGGAATCGAACTCGGGTCCTTTGGAAGAGCAGGCAATGCTCTTAACCACTGAGCCATCTCTCCAGCCCTGAGTTACTCAGTTTTTATCAGGAGAAAGTCCTTGTTGTCCCGTGACTGCTGGTGCCCAGGCTAGCACACTGAGTGATGCACACCGATGTCGCTGAAAGCACCACAGTAAAACTAAACTCTTCTTTCTCAGCAAGAGATGGTCTGGAGACGCGATGTTCAGATCAGGTCCGTGGGCAGCATTTGGAAAAGTCACTTGGGGACACTGTTTGTGAGACAAGACTTCGAGGCTCTTCTGTGGCCAGTTCTGTGGCCAGTGGGCAGCGGAGCAGGAGCAGTTCATTCAACTCCACGGATAGTGGCTCTGGGCTGCTGTTGCCCGGACTTCAGGCCCCCCCTGAGCTGGACCAGGGTGGCCAGCCATCCTCACAGAGATTCAGTGTTATCAGCTCTGAAGACTTTGACCAGGAGCTTATTGTGAAACCCATCAAAGTGAAGAAGAGGAGGAGGAAGAGAAAGACAGGTACTGTCCATGGACAAGTGCACACTGACTCATGCAGCACCTAGGCCTGGACCTTTGGGGATTTACCAAGAAGGGATGATAGTTCTCATGAAAGGGGTGCTTGCTGCTCTTGGTGGAACAGAGGACTTCACACATTGAAAGCACTCGCCCCACAAAGTGACAGTGCACACATACACACATGGGCATCTCTATAGGACTTGTGTTGGTAGTGGTCAAGCCCTGATTAAATGGTCTGGAGTTAGCTTTTTTGTTGTTGTTGTTGTTGTTTTTTGTTTGTTTGTTTTTCAAGACAGGGTTTCTCTGTGGCTTTGGAGCCTGTCCTGGAACTAGCTCTATAGACCAGGCTGGCCTCAAACTCACAGAGATCCGCCTGCCTCTGCCTTCCGAGTGCTGGAATTAAAGGCGTGCACCACCACCAACTGGCGAGTTTGCTCTTTTTAATGTTTAAGATAATATCTACTGTCTTGGGATTTTTATATCTGTGAAGAGACACTATGACCATGGCAACTCTTATACAAAAAAGACATTTAATTGGTGTGCCTTGTTTACAGTTTCAGAGGTTCAGTCCATTATCATCATGATGGAGAGCATGGCGGCGTGCAGGCAGATGTGGTGCTGGAGTAGTATGTAGTAGCTAAGAGTCCTATATCTTGCAGGCAACAGGAAGTAGATTGAAACACTGGACAGTATCCTGAGCATAGGAAACCTCAAAGCCCGCCCCCACAGTGGCATACTTCCTCCAACAAAGCCATACCTCCTAATAGTGCCACTTCCTATGAAGTTATGAAGGCCAATTGCATTCACACTACCACATCCATATATACCATTTATTAGACCAGAGACCCTACAGACATATGCACAGTCATTGAAACAGGGATTTATGCTGGCGTATTTGTTGGACACCTTACATTTTGTGTTGACATGTTACCAAATAGGGGATTTAACTCAGAACTTTTTTTAAAGGTGGATCTCTCTGGGTAGCCCAGGTTGTCCCAGAACTTACTGAATAGACCAGGCTAGCCTTGAGATCTTGCTGCCTCTGGCTCCCAAGGGCTGGGATCGAAGGTGTGCACTACCCTGACTGGCCACATAGAACTTCTTGAGCTACTCACTCCTTGGTGCCTATTGATCCTTCTAGCTAAAGGTTATCACATTATTGAAGAAAAACATTATTGAACTCTTACGCATTTTGACAATTTAAAAAAATTGGCCTATGTTGCATGGTGCTTCATCCCTACCCCACTTTCCTTGCATTTCTTTAAGGAGGCTTCTGGGCATTTCTGCATTTTTGACATGAGATAATTTCTACTTTTTTTTTTTTTCCCTCCAAGACGGGGTTTCTCTTTGAAGCCTAGCCTGTCCTGGAACTTGCTCTATAGACCAGGCTGGCTTCCAGCTTAGAGATCCTCCTGCGTCTGTGTCCCGAGTGCTGGGAGTACTGCCCGGCTTCTTCCTTTTATGGGACTGTGGTCTCTGTAAGTCGTTGAGGCTGGCCTGGAACTTACTATATAGCTGAGACTGGCTTCAGACTCTTGAGCTTCCAGTCTCTAACTCCCAAGTTCCGGGACTATAGAGATTAATTTATGCCTTACAGAATAGCCTTCATTTAAAATATTTCTTTCTTCAGCCAAATGTTTTCCCATACTCTGGTTATTTACATGGATTCATGCCATATTTTGAATTTTCTCATTTTAAATTAGAAGGTGGAACCAAGAGCACCTGCCAAAGTTCCCTCGAGTCAACTCCCTGCTCCGAGTTCCCTGGTGAGAGCCCCCAGTCCTTGAACACAGACCTCTTGTCCATGACCTCAAGTGCTCTGGGCAGTAGTGTGGATCAGTTGAGCACAGGATCTCCAGACCAGGAGAGCAACCCCAGTGCTGAGGTGAATGGGATCATTCAGGAAGACAGTGGCCCTGAAGCATTCAGTGTTCTGGAGGTTCCTGAATCTGCCTCTGACCCAGTGGATGAAGAAAACAGTACTGGAAAGAAAATTTACCAGTGTGAACACACACAGGACATGGGCCTGCTCAATGGAGTGTTGAATTTACCCTTTCAGCCAGGGGAGGATGGGGGAGGTGATGACATCGTCTCAGGACCCGAAGAGGAGCCTGGTGCTGTTGATGGTGTACATGCACAGGTGTGCCTGCGGAAACAGGAGGTGAACACCGTGGAGCTCAGTGATCCCCAGAGCACTTTTTCTGAAGCTCCTCTTCTGGACTCACTTACAGTACCTTCCAGCCTCAGCTGGCCCCCAGGCGCTGAGCAGTGGCTGCCTGGGCTTGGAGTTTATGAAGTTAGCACTGAGGAGGCCAGCCCAGAACCAGACATCCTGGCCCATGTGGACGTCCCTAGCCACCCAAGCTCAAATCCTTGGCATATAGTCACCAATAATGATACAGATCACAAAGAAATACCTGCTTCTGAATGTGACATAGGAAATGTGGAAGGACAGGTGACTCCTCTTGTCTCTGCCTTGGTGGCCAGCACCCATGATCATTTGCTGGACAAATCTTTCCAGGACCAGGCCGTGACATCCAGTGATGAGGAAGACATTTATGCCCATGGACTCCCATCTTCATCCTCAGAGACGAGTGTGGCAGACCTTGGAGCTGGTCGCTCTCTGCAGGACCTGAGTCAACCAGGGACTGATGACACCACACTGCTCAAGACAGATCAGGTCTGTGTGCTGATGGAGGATGCATAGCTAAGGTGGCAGCTGCGGCAGCTTCTTCTTTTCCTTTAAGGGGCATCCTTGGCTCATTTATTTTCCTTCTTATGGAAATCATACTCTTGCAAAACCTGCAGCTCTGAAGTCTGTGTTTGGGGCAATTTCCTTTGCAGAGGCCCTGAATAATTGGAATTGTAGTAATTCTGACCCTGCTCAGTTGACCTCTTACTGACAAAAGTGGTGTCTTGCAAGGTCAGACCATTTTGGGCACTTAAGGTAGGCCGGGCCATTGGAATACCACTGGGCAGAGGACTGTTTGCTCTGGGCACATATAAGGTGGGTAGTTCCTGCCCTTCTCCGCAGTCCATTGACTCCTTGGAACATGAATATGAATTGGGGCCCTTCCCAGAAATGCTGTTTCCTCAGCGTCTGCACAGTGCCCCCGGGACACCCTGCAGAATGAAACCCCTAATCTGCTATGGGGCTTCTCAGCCAGTGTAATTTATTGTTCTTAGGACTTTTATATTAAAAATGATTTTTTTAAAAAACAAAAACAGGGTCTCGCTACATCGCCTTGGCTGTCCTGGAGCTCACTATATAGACCAGGCTGGCCTTGAACTCAGAGATCCACCTGCCTTTGTCTCCCAAGTGCTTGGGTTAAAGTCTTGCACCACCATGCCCAGCCCTAAAAATGATTTCAAGTACTTCTTTTCTTTATCATGTAAATCTTAGCAAATGTATTTGTCTTCAGAACTAACTGCTTACACTGCATCCCCACATTCCCTGCCTTCAGAGCTAAGAGCATGCGATGTGTATCAGTTCTCACCATGTACAGATCTGTGCTGAGCACTAAGTCACTCCTTTAAGAGCAAAACAAACTGGGACACGGGTGCACATTGTATGGAGAAGGAAATTGAAGCTAAGAAAAGTAAAGTGATGTATGCACTAGGTCACATTACAGGTGACATTCGGAGTTGCCCAGGATTCTCTCCCATTCTGTGTTGTCTCAAGAGTGAATGGGCCAGAAGTTGGACTGCTTGTTCAGCATCCTGCATTCATCTCTCAGTGTATCGCTCCTTAAGTGCCCTAAATGGCACTGCATGTGTTCATGCTGGTGAGCTCAGTGCAAGTGACAGCTAGCCGGGCACACGTTTAGAGGACCAGGTGAATGGGACTTGAACCGAGTGTGAGCTGTGGGAAGCCCCAGTAGGAGGTCACCTGATATAGAGTATTGGCTGGCAGATCATAACTGTGGTATATGTTAGGACTACTTGGAAGCTTAGGAAAGCCCTCGCCTGTGGAGAATGATCCTGGACCTCTGAAGTTACCTTCCAAGTTTTGCCACACCTGTTCTTGCTCTAAATAGCAGAAAAGGTTAGAAATGTTGCTTGTTGTTTTGTTTGGGAGGACAAGGGCTAGAAGAAAATTCTCTTTCATACCCTAGCTTCCGTATCAGGTATTTGTGCAACTACATAGAATAGCTTTGGCTTTTGAACAGATCCCTGGCAACATGGGGCCAGCATGACAGGTCATGGGAAATAATGCCTGATAACCTGAGTTCCGTGTCTAGGACCCCTCCCTGTGATGGAAAGAGAGGACCAGCTCACAAGCTGTCTTCTGATCAGCACACGTATGCTATATTACACTCATGTGTGCACATACATAATTACATTAAATTACTGTACTACAAATGAGAAAAATATAGCAACAAAACCTTAGTGTACAAAATTCAGGCAGCGTCTCTTCCACACTTCCCCCAGCTGTTCCCATACAACATGCCAGGTGTCCAAAGGTTAGAACAACGTTTGAAAAACTAATGAGGACAGTGGTAGTTCTGTTCCCATACTACATCTGTCATAATTAAGTACTCAGAAGTTGATTTTCATGTGTGTGTTGATGAGCACGCCCCCTTGTGTAAAGTAAGGTATGCGCTGACTAAAGCCAGGTCTCTATGGTGTGATGTCATGCCCCACCAGCAGGTGCAGCCTGTAGCCTATGTGGAGCATGTGTGCCTGGACAGCTATAAGCACAGCCCAAAGTACAATCGTAAACTTACTTAAAATGCTGAGGGCTTTTGTTTTTTGTTGTTTTGTTTTGTTTTTTGATTTTTTTTGGTGGGACTGGGTAACTCAGTTGTATGGTTTCTGAGTGTGGACTTACTAGTTCTGTGAAGTGGTTGGATACACCTTCAAGCATTACTTAGGAAGGGTGCTGTGCCATGAAAAAGTGTTATCCAGGGATGTTATGGGGTCTTCCATGAGAACCACAGCATCCGATTCAAGAATGTTTTCTAAGGTTGGATCCAAGGAGAGCTTTAACAGTCTGCCCACGTCTCTTGTTGGTAATAGTATGATGACACTGTGTCTCTTGTCACAGAACTCACTGGCCTCTGTCCTTGTTAGTTTGCAGAGAGCTGGATGGGCTACTCGGGTCCTGGCTATGGCATCCTCAGCTTGGCGGTCTCGGAAAAGTTTATCTGGTGTCTGGACTACAAAGGTGGCCTATTCTGCAGTGCCCTTCCTGGTGCAGGGCTGCGCTGGCAGAGGTTTGAAGATGCTGTCCAGCAGGTGGCAGTCTCTCCCTCAGGTTCGTCTCCCAGCTCCCATTTCCCAACCCCCAACCGGGCTCCCAGCTCATAGGCAGCTCTCCTCTGGCAAAAGCATGCTGTCATCAGATGGCCCTTCGTGCCAGCTTAGGCGGGGCAGGTTCTGCAAAGATCATGAATGCTTTCTTTGACACTGACCTAGGGTAATGGGTATTCAGCATACTTGCTTGAATTTTTGGGTTTTTTATTTCATTAATTGCAGTGATAACACATGAACATATTTTTGTAAGCTCTACAGATAATTTGAATATTGAGGTGTTTTTTTTTTAGTCATGTTGGCACACTAAATCCTCATAAAAATAACATGTATTTCTGTTTGTCAGTGTTGCTATAAAGCAGCTGAACTAGTGAAGACAGGCCTGTGGATGTATGCTGGATATGTTCCAGTCATCCGATTTCTTTTTCAGAATTTTTTTCCCTGCCTGCACTAGGGAAAGTCCTCAGATTTTCATGCCATTCTTTGGCATTTTAGTGAACCCAAGGAGACTTTTTAGAGTACAGCTCTTTGGCCAGGCAGTGCTGGTGCACGCCTTTAATCCCTGAACTAGTGCCGTGAATTCAAGGTCAGCCTGGGCTACTAAGTAAGTTCTAGGACAGCCAGAGCTGACACACTGAGAAACCTTGTCTTGAAAAAATGCAGTTCTGCTAGGCTGAGATTATTCTCTTATCTACCTAGACTTATTTACTTGTTTGTTAGTCAGGTGTTTGTTTGTTTTGTGTTTAGACTTGACCTTGCTATCTGTCACAGGCTGGAGTCCATCCAGGCTGCTCAGCCTTCCAAGAGCTGGGGTTACAGGCATAACCCCCACTAGGCTTCATTTGCTTTTTCCTAATGCTGGATATATGTTTATCTGTTCTGAAGCAATGGAATCATGACAGAGAAGCAGAAGAGGAAAGTTCTTGTTAAAATGTCAGCTTATTCAGGCTCATTTGCTCTTTCTCTGCTTGCTTGAAAGTCATTTTCTCCGAGACTGGCTGAGAACGCCATTAGGGGCATTGTGTAATTGTATGTCTTACTTTTTTTCCTGTTTTGGTCACATACTTTTGGAAGCATTCTCTTGGCTATTTAGAAACATTGGTTCTCTGCTGATTGTATTATTTTTTACTTTCCAACCATTCCTTGGTCTCTCTGGTTGAAGCTATCTGTCTCTGTGAGGTTGGTTTTATTTTGTTGTTGTTGTTGTTGTTGTTTTAATGGCTGCCTTCCAGGCTCACATCTTTGGATGCCTCCGGGTCTGTGCTATGTGGTGTTGCAGAGTGAGGGTAGGGGAGGAAGCTATATACATGAGCACTCTGTAGACCTTCTTGGTTAGCTCAGTTCATACTCATTCATTCCTTAGTGATTCTTCACCTCCCCCAATGTCATAGCCTCCTTCCAAGAGCCGTTGACCTGCCCTTCCCCCTTCCCTTGCCTCCTCTTTCTGTTCCTCTGAATTCTTTTCATGACAGCATGCCCACCTAACTCAGTGCATACTTTCCTGTAAGTGGTCCAGAAGAGGCCCTACCCTGTGAGTCCCCAGGGTTAGTATTTGGGCACTAATTGTGCCTCACTTAACTGGTCAAACCTATAGTACTGTCACTTTTCTCCCCGTCATGAGTGGCTGCCTCTGTGCTCTGTGCTGGATTTCTTCTCACATCTAACCTTCAGGTCAGTCCCAGAAGGTAGAAATGACTCCATTTTTCTATTGAGGAAAATGAGGATTGGATACATTTACAATGATGTCCAACAACAGACAGCTGATGGTTTCAGACTCTGGCATGGTGAGCTCTGCCCAGAGTGGAGTTTTTGTGTAGGTGATCTCATGTTTGTTGAGCAGTGAGTAGAATTTTTTTTTTCTCCTAGGGGCCCTTCTCTGGAAGATTGAGCAGAAATCTAACCGTGCTTTTGCGTGTGGCAAAGTGACCATCAAGGGAAAGCGGCACTGGTACGAAGCTCTGCCCCAGGCTGTGTTTGTTGCCCTGAGTGATGACACAGCCTGGATCATCAGGACCAATGGAGATCTGTACCTTCAGACAGGTACATTGTCCTTGTCGTTTGCTGAGTCTGCTGCTAGTCACATTCTGACTGCAGTCATGGGATACAGAGACTGAAAAACCTAGTTAAGTAAAAACATTTCTAGAAGCCCAGTGTTTGCCATGGAAGGGCAGTTCTCCCACCCCATCCCACGGACTGGGCCTGTACAGGAGTGAACAGATGATTGAGTGCAGTGCAGAGTGCCTTGCAGGAGCAGCGCCCTGCGCTTCTGCAGCTACCTACCGATGCCTTTGCATACCCTGCAGTATCCATTCCTAAGAGGAATGAGTGATAGGCAGGACTCGACATCCCCTCCCTTTTCCCCAGCTGGTCAAACCCAGAACCTGTACATGTGTTTACATGTGAATTTGGGGGAAAGACAACAATAAGTAATTTGCTGTAAATAGCAGATTGACTCGTCCTAGGAAACTGCCCTTAGGGAAACCTTTAGCTGCTAGAACGGGCACAGTGGGACTTGTTATTAAAAATAAACTGTAATGAGTCAGTGTTTGTGTACTGTCAGCACAAGGGAAATGTCCAGCAGCGGGCAGGGGTTGTGTTTGGGCTGTCAAGAGGCCATATTGGATTTACACGAAGAATGGTGTAGTCATTTAATAATCCTGATTCTGAGAGCTTGGTTTCATCTTTGGAATGAATCATCAGTCAGGAAAGCTCCTCATTGAAAGCTCATTTCTCATCTGGCTGTCCAGGTGTGTAGGAGCCCCACACTGGTGAGAAGCTCTGCCAGCTTCATGAATGTGTGGGGCTGGAGCCTTGAGTTTAGTTAGTTCTTGTATCTTTGAGTGGAAATGGGCTGCTCTGAAAAGCACTTGCACATCCAGCTTCCAGGGCATTCAATTTTGGTCCTGGCAGAAAAAGCGATACCTTGAGTCTATAGGTAAGGAGCAAGTGGCCTCCTAACCATTATGCCAGAGCAGGCACCAGAGCAATTTCAGATTACCCTGACCCTCCCCAGACCTGCTAGATTAGTGTGGGCTTGGCGAGGGTTTGCAGAAGGAAATCCTGCAGGCAAGTCCGTGCAGTTGCATATGCTGTAGGTGCCTTTGTGCTTGTACTGCTTCGGCCTGCTTGCAAGCCAAGGCTGTGGAACATGAGGTTTAGATGTTAGCTGTTCTGCATGCTCCCTCAGTAGTTGCCTTTGACCTCGTGTAGGTGCATGACACACATTACTGAAAGGCCTCAGAGATGTGAGGGAAGTATTTAGAGCCCTGACTGTCACAAGCATTGCAGTATGACAGATCTCAGGTTTTACCTAGGGAGTGGGGATCTGCACTTTAGCTGGGTAGCCCCATACTGTAAGCAGAGAATGGGAGCAGAGCTGCCTGAGCTACTGGGGCTGCAGCTGCAGATAGACCTCTTGTCACCCGAGGGCCTGAGGAGCACAGCCTTGCTGGCTGAAGGGAAGCCCTCCATGCTCTTCTGCTAGGCTGCTGCTTTCCTCCCCTGGGCTGCCCTGTCTTGAGAACTTCTTAAGCTACTTTGGAACACCAGAAAATTCTGAATTGTATTTCTTTTCTCTCCAAATGATACCCAATTTGCCTCAGACAGATGTGAACTTGAAGCATAATTTACTTTTGTTGTTGTTGTTGTTGATAAAAATCTCAAAATGGAGCCAGGCAGTGGTGGCGCACGCCTTTAATCCCAGCACTCAGGAAGCAGAGGCAGGTGGATCTCTGTGAGTTCGAGGCCAGCCTGGTCTACAAGAGCTAGTTCCAGGATAGGCTCTAAAACTACAGCGAAACCTTGTCTTGAAAAACCAAATAGGGGGGCTGGAGAGATGGCTCAGTGGTTAAGAGCATTGCCTGCTCTTCCAAAGGTCCTGAGTTCAATTCCCAGCAACCACATGGTGGCTCACAACCATCTGTAATGGGGTCTGGTGCCCTCTTCTGGCCTGCAGACATACACACAGACAGAACATTGTATACATAATAAATAAATAAATATTTAAAAAAAAAAAAAGAAAAACCAAATAGATAGATAGATAGATAGATAGATAGATAGATAGATAGATAGGAACAGTGTCTATTATGGAAGCCCATAGATAGCAAAAATACCCCCAATAAAAGAAAATCGCAGATCAGCATAGGGTATGACATGCTGCTGATGAGTCTAAGTCTTCTCCTTTCGCTACAGGTCTCAGTGTGGATCGGCCCTGTGCCCGAGCTGTGAGGGTTGACTGCCCCTACCCGCTGTCCCAGATCACTGCCCGGAACAATGTGGTATGGGCACTGACGGAGCAGAGGGCCCTCCTGTACCGGGAGGGCGTGAGTAGCTTCTGTCCTGAAGGGGAACAGTGGAAGTGTGATATTGTCAGGTATGGGACCCAGCACTGTCACATTTATCTCTGACTAGGCACCTAGGTGAGCCTTGTCTGGCAAAGCCAATACCTACAGGTTCCATGGTGATGTCAGCCTTGACAGGTTGGCCTTGGGAATACTCCATGCTCCTTGCTGGCATCACATTGCAACATGTGGTAGAGCTCAATTGGTAGAGTATTTGCCTAGCATGCCCAAGGCCCTGAGTTCTGTCCTCAGTACTACATAAATTGGGCTAAATGGCACATATCTATAGTCTCATCTCTTGGGAGATACAGGCAAGAAAACCAGAGTGCTTTGGATACACATCTCAGAGAGAGAGAGAGAGAGAGAGAGACAGAAGAAAAAAATAAGTGTATCCCTGAACATTAGAGTCACAGTTCTCATAATGTCCATTCAGAGCTACCTGCTGTCACATGCTTCTGTTGAGAGTCTGTGATGGTGTAGCTACAAATGCTCATTTGCATTTTATCCTAGTCAGTTGAAATTATTTGTTCTGGGCAGCAGGGGCACATACCTTTAATCCCAGGGCTTGGGAGGCAGAGGCAGGCAGATCTCTGAGTTCAAGGCCAGCCTGGTATACGGAGTGAGTTCCAGGACAACCAGGGCAACACAGAGAAACCCTGTCTAGAAAAACAATAAAACAAAAAACAAAACAAAACCAAAATTGTCCTTTATGTATACCATATCAGGATGGTGTTGGTTAGGTTCAGCTAGGCAATAAATCTTTACAGAACCCTTGCTGGGAACCACAGGACTCTGGGGCCTGAGTGTTCCAATATGGTGAAGATGCAACCCTTCCAGCTTAGTGGGAGCCATGCAGCAGCCAGTTGGGTACCAGTTGGTGTGAGAATACTGAGAAAGAAGGAGGGCACATAGCAGCGGGGAGCTGTTGCCTGCCAGTAGTGCTTGGGTAGGCAGCATGCCAAAGCTAGCCTCAACTGAGCCTCAAAGCTGCCAAGGATGTCCCCAGGTGGAAGAAGTAAAGGTTTGATGTAGGCGGAGATCACTTGTTCATTTCCTGGCCGCCCAGACTCCTGAAATAATCACACAGAAACTGTATTATTTGCAGTACTGTTTGGCTAGTAGCTTAAGCATAGTGCTTACATCTAGAATTAACCCATTTTTATTATTTTATATTTTATATATTAATATAAAATATTAAATATATTTAAAATTCATATTTAATATTTTATATTATTGTTTTTTTTTTTTAATTTTCGAGACAGGGTTTCTCCATAGCTTCTTGGTTCCTGTCCTGGAACTAGATCTTCTAGACCAGGCTGGCCTCGAACTCACAGAGATCCGCCTGCCTCTGCCTCCCGAGTGCTGGGATTAAAGGCGTGAGCCACCACTGCCCGGCTATTGTTATATTTTTTATATTAGGTTTGTGGCCTACCGGCAAGGTTCCAACTAGCAACTCATGTCTTTCCCCTCTGGTGGCTACATGGCATCTTGCAATTCTGCCTTCCTTCTCTTAGCATTTAGTTTAGTTGTGCCCCCCTCCCCGCGCCCAGCTCTATTCTGCCTTCTCACAGGCCAAGCCAGCTTCTTTATTCATTAACCAATAAAAGCAACACATATACAGAAGGACTTCCCACACCAGGTAGACTCATCAGAAAAGATAGGCCTGCCCAGAGATAGCTATACATCACAGCATGCAGGGGAAGAGGAACAGGGGACGTAGAGGTGCTCTTGACGTAGGTGCCTGCTCATTTGTGACTGGTAGTTTTTTTTTTTTCTATGAACTTTCCCCACCATCTGGGCTTTTAATGTGTCTTTCCAAAACAGCCACATGTATAGACAGCATGTATTACCCAGCAGTGTAACTTAGACTCTCAGTTTCTTCCTTGTCACTCAATAATTCACTCTTCTGAGCAGAATTCATTTCTTCTCAATGCCAAGCCTGAACAGAGACACTCAGTGAGGTAGCCTTCTGTACATTGTGCCTCCTGGGTGGAAGCTGATGCTGTTTTCTCTCACTCCCAGTGAAAGGCAAACTCTGGAGCCTGTCTGCATAACTCTCGGGGATCAGCATACTCTCTGGGCACTGGACATTCATGGAAAGCTGTGGTTCAGAACTGGCGTGATTCCCAAGAAGCCTCAAGGGGATGATGACCATTGGTGGCAGGTAGGTGATGGTACTTTCTGGCTTAGAGACCCACGGTTTCTGCCTTCTCTTTTTCCTTAAGAAACTGGATTAAATTAGTAGTACTGCTTCTAACATTGGGTAGATAGACTTTCCTTTGGCTGAGTATACTAAACACACACACACACAAACCTTTCCCTCATAGAAAATAGCTTGTAAAGTTTTCTTTGCTTTGATACAGCCTGGAATTTATTTATTTATTTAAATGTTATTTAGGCATTCATCATTATAGGCTAAATAAACCCAGTGACATCCATTTAAAGAAAGACCTGGGTAATAATGATGCTTAATTCTGAACAAATGGTGCTAAGAAAAGAGACTAAACAATAGGTTTGAAACCCAACCCACAATTAAAACTCATCTATCTCTACTTGCTTGAAAGGCCTTTAAGTAAATGATATTTCAACAAAGAACAAAGAACTGAGCATTTCCCACATGTTCCCACAGAGGAGAACACTGTGAGAAGTAAGGGGTGGAATAAAGCCAACTTCCCATGGTTCCAGCCCAACTATGGGTGGATTTTGCAAGGAACATCTACTTTTCCCTCTTGGTACCATGGTACCATTCAAGGTTAAGCTCCTTACCCCCCACATTGGACCTAAGATTGCTCTGACAGATGTACAGTGTGATGCCTTACGTCTATGTCTATAATTAGATATTCTAGGTGATATTTGAGGTTATTTATAATTTAACAATACCCACCATATACTTATAGCCATATATGAACACTCACATGTATACAGCAGATATATATATATATATATATATATATATATATATATATATGCTAAATTCCAGAGGGAATTTTTCATGTGTCCATGTATAATGTGCATACATATGTATATGCATATGTGGGGGCATAGGTGTATATGTGCATGTGTCTAGCAGCCAGAGTTGATGTTGAGGCTCCTACTTGATTGCTTTCCACTTTATCTACTGAGATAGGGTCTCTTGCTGAACCCGAAGCTTGCTCACAGATGTGGCTAGTCTAGCTAGCCAGCGTGAACCAAGAATCTGGTCTCTACTTTTCAAGCACTGAGATTACAAGCAGGTCTCTTTGCCTGCCAGTATTTTACATGAATGTTGGGGATCCAGACTCCAGTCCTGACACTGGTGTGCTCAGCACTTTACCACTAAACCTTTAATCTGTTGGTTTTGCATGTTGAGGTGATATGTTTAAGCCTGGGCCATGTTCTACCATTGTGCTGCATCCCCCTATCCCTAAGTAGCACAAAGAAAACTCTTATCATTTTTTCATAACACATGAACTTTAGCTGGACAGAACTGTCATGAGGCATAGAAGCAGAGTAAAGTAGTTCCTTGCTTCTTTGGCTCTTATGTTTGGCTGCTAGGTGTTTTCTTTCTCTTTCAGTTGAAGACCTGCTTACAATGTCTGTCTGTCTGGGGTGTCACAGGCTTGGTGAGTGACTTTGGTATGGTCACTGCCAGATCTCCCATGGGCACTGGCCCTGGGTTGCATAGCATATGCACTTGAGTCTCTAAGTAGAGCTCATTCTTCAGCACTCAAGGAGTCACAAAACCAGGCTGGACAGAACTCAGAATGCTAAATATGGCCACAGGCTCTGCAATGGGGCTATCTATTCCAGCTTCAGTGAGGACAGCATTCACAACTATCCTGTTCCTTCACAGACAGAAGGGCAGCATTTAGGTGTGATATACTAACTTCTAATGATTTATTTCGTGTTTATTTTGTTTTTTATAAATTTAAGAGCCCTGTAATACTTTCACTTAGTATTTCATTTCATTGTATGAACTGGGCATGTGTCCTAGGAATATTTGGTGTTTATGCCAATGTCTGTGATAAATAAATCCAACAGGCAAAAGTACTAGAGAGAAGATGGAAGATTGCTCAACATATTGAAGTGTCTGCTAAGCCTGATGACCTGAGTTCATTCCCTAGGGCCCACAAGGTGGGAGAGAAGTGACTCCTGAAAGTTGTCCTTCTGCATGTGTGCTGTAGCGTGCATACCCACACACATACATAATACATACATAAATAGAAATAAATGGGATGTAATCTTAAATTACTGCATAAAGTTATGCTGAGCCAGGCTTGCACCTGCTTCATAAAGAGCTCTGACACAGGGCTGGAGAGAAGGTTCAGAGGTTAAGAGCACTGGCTTCTCATGCAGAGGACCTATGCTCAGTTCCCAGCACCCACATGGTGGCTCACAACCCCTGTAACTCCAGCTTCAGAGGTTCCTGTGCCCTCTTCTGGCCTCTGTAAGTACCACACTGGTATACACACACACACACATATGCAGGCAAAACACTTGGACACATAAAATATAAATAATAATTTTTAAAAATTTTAAAAAGAACTCTGTCACAATTGGCTGCCAGTAAGGGAGAAGTTTCCTTCAGGGAGATAGTTGTCCCAAAGTGTCTCTAGAGCTGTCTGTACAGAGACTTTTCAGGAATGTTGTCAAGGGTTACACATCAGAGCCAGATGGCTTCCAGAATCTTGGGATTATCTTGCTTAAGCTGATGTAATTGGTAATATTCACAATTATAGCTTAAGTCATTGCATCACCCAACTGATAACCTTTTTTAATGCTCATATTATGATTCTAACTATTATACATTATTGTCTATTGGCAGCACCTGAATTTTAAAAGGAAATTATTCTTTATCACTTTGACTAGAGTAAAAGGTTTCTTAGGTGAGGCAGGTGCTATTTTAATCAAAAAAATAATACATAAACAGACCCATGTGATGAAACAGCAGCCCTTTCTTCCTTGCCCTTCAGCTCAGCCTGTGGATTTAATGACAGCTGCTTAGTAACGCCAGTCCTTGTGCAGAGAGGTGTGTGCAGGAACTTGGTCACTTGGTGGCCTTGCTACTGGGTACTTGGATTTGGGTGTTGAAAAGTTGCCTCTGCAGGTAGGTGGTCTTCAGGGCCTGCACTGACAGAGGGCTCAGCTGGTATCCTTCCTGCAGGTGAGCATCACGGACTATGTGGTGTTTGACCAGTGCAGCTTGTTCCAGACCATCATGCATGCCACACACTCAGTAGCGTCAGCAGCTCAAGCCCCTGTGGAAAAGGTAGCAGATAAGTTGCGCATGGCATTTTGGTCTCAGCAGCTTCAGTGCCAGCCCAGCCTACTAGGGGTTAACAACAGTGGTGTCTGGATCTCCTCAGGCAAGAATGAATTCCATGTTGCTAAAGGAAGTCTCATAGGTGAGTCCATTACTCTTGTTTTCACATTATTTCTACTTTATTTATTTATTTATTTTTCATCAAGACGGGGTTTCTCTGTGTTGCTCTGACTTTCCTGGACCTCACTCTGTAGATTAAAGGTTTGCACCACCACTCCCAGCTCTCAGTGGAGGGTTAGAGAGCTAGCTCTGTGGTTAAGAGCAGTGCCTCTGTTCCCTGCACTGCATGGCAGCTAACAAATGTCTGTAACTCTGATTCAAGGGGATCCAAGTGACCTCTGGTGTGGAGACCAGACACACAAGTGGTACACAGACATACGTGCAGGCAAATAGAGCTCATTTTTGTGATCGTTGTGTTTGAGTCAGAGTCTCATATAGCCCAAGCTGCCAGATTGGTCTTGAACTCCTAATCCTCTGTCTGTACCTCCCAAGTGCCAGGATTTCAGGCACATACCATCACACCTGGCTGCAGCTCAATTTTAGAATTTCAAAATCCATGCAGGGTAGGCAGTGAGACAGCTCTGCAGGTAAAGACATGCCACACACACCTGTAGACCTGTGTGCAGGCCTGGTCTACTTAGTGAGTTCTAGGACAGCCAGGGCTATGTAGAGGAAATTCTGTCTCAAAAAACCAAAACCAAAAACAACAACAACAAAAAAAACCACACACACACAAAAACAAAAAAGAAGAAAAAGAAAACAAAGAACAACAACCAAAAAAGCCAGATACAATGAACGCTCATGTCAGCAGTCCTGTGAGGAAATAGGGGCAGGCAGGGACAGAAGTGACCAGGAGTTTACATACATAGCCCAATGGTAGAAATAAGAGAGGCCCTGTCCCCAAAACAAGGAGAAAATTAAAAACCAACTTCTGGAAAGTTGTTCTCTGATCGCCACACACACACCTGCCACACTTGTAGATACCTGCGTGGAATCTTTTCAAAAGGGAGCATGTGGTTGAGTAGCAATGGCTTAACAGTTAAGAATATGGGGGCAGGAGTTCAGATCCCAGCACCCACACAACAAGCCAAACGTCCCACACATGCCTGTAGTCCAGCAGCAAGGTGCAGAGAGGCAGGAGAATCTTTGGGACTTGCTGACTTCTAAGCTGACAGAGAGAACTTGATCCCGAGGATCAGGAGAGACCTTGTGTCAAATATGTGGATGATAGATGAGAACACCCAGTGCCCTCTTCAGGGCTTCATGAACATGCTTAGGCAATACCGCCACGATAACACATGCGTGTATACTTACACAGACACATATATAATAAGTAACTATTTTTTAAAAGTCCACAAACCTATTGAGAGGAAATAGTCCATTTGCAGTGGGGAAATTATGGCCACTGTTGAACACACAAGATGTTGGCCATGTCTGTGGATGAGCTGGGTGTTCATTTCTGAATGATTCCCTCTTGATGGATTTCCTCCTGCTCTGTCCGCTGTGTAGCCCCCTCGGGCTTCGTCTTGATGATGCTTAGAGGAATGAGCAGCTCATGCCGCTTTGTTTAAGGACACTAGAAATCACTGTGAGAGCTCTGAAGGCCAGCTGGAGTGTAGAACCAAAACTGAAGTGTTAGAGGGTTTTTTTCTTACCTTAACCCACTTTTATATTTATTCTCTCTAGGAACTTACTGGAATAACGTTGTTCCCCGGGGAACAGCTTCGGCCACAAAATGGGCCTTTGTGTTGGCTTCTCCTGCTCCTACCCAGGATGGTGAGTCAGTCTTAGCCTGGCTGAGAAACCTGGCACACAAGTTAGTCAGCAGCTGAGAACTTCAGACCAGCATCTGACTCTGACCCTGTGGCTGTGGAGATGTGGCCTCAGACCTTGAGACAGGGGATGGATATGGCTGTGTTCTGAGCCAGCAGTCCTGTGAGCTAAGCTGAAGGCTTTTAGCTGGATTGGTGTGTTCAGGAGAGCCACTGAGGGGGAGCAAGAGTGGCAAAACTGAATCTGAGATGGTATCCTTTGGAAGGAGGTCACCGTGCAGTGTGGTCCTAGGAGCCAGCAGCAGATGACTGTCAGTGTCAGTTTGCATGGCCATAATTTCCTGAGGTTCTTTCCCATTTCTTCTGGAGAATTCTGTCACTTCCAAGTAGCTTCATTCTCTAGTGCTTCTTGCTGCTGGCTCCTCTTTGCCCTGTGAAGGTCTCATACCTCAGGCTTATCTTATCCCTGCAGAGTTGGGGCTTCTACTGCAGAGCCACCCAATTAGCTAGAGTTCCTAGGCAGCCAGGTGGCCTGTTTGAGAAGGAGCCAAAGCCTGTTTCAAGGATTATATGGAGGGCTAAATGAGAAAGTTCCATGATACCTACGATGAAGAGGAAACAGTTTGGTCATTGAAGCCATCAGTTGCCCCAGCCCTGAATAACTTGATTCATATAGTAAACACCTGCCCCCTGGACTCTACTGACCACAATCCTACCTGGAGTTTCATAAGGCAGGAAATTGTTTCCTGAGCCTGACACAGCTGCTTTGACCCTAGCTGAGGGAGGTGGCCTGCAGCCTTCACTAATGTTCTGCTCTAGCAGACACAAGCATGCACAGGTACTACTTCCCTGGGGAACTCTTGACTCGCTGGCTGACTCTTTCACTACTTTATCAAGATCTTTGTTTGTTTGTTGTTTTTTAAGACAGGGTCTCTCTCTGTAGCCTTGGCTGTCCTGGAACTTGCTTTGTAGACCAGGTAGACCTCAAACTCAGAACTCAGAGATCCACCTGCCTCTGCCTCCTCATTACTGGGGCTAAAGGTGTGTGCTACCAACCAGCCAAAGTTTTTAAATTAAAAAAAAAAAGAGGGTTGGAGAGATGACTCCATGGTTAAGAGCACTGGATTCTTTTTCAGAGGTCCTAGGTTTGATTCCCAGTGCCCCCATGGCAGCTCACCACTGCCTCAAATTCAAGTTCCAAGAGATACATATGATACCTTCTGTCTTCCATGGCATGGGTCCTGGGAAAGCACACGATGCAGATATACATGCAGAGAAAACATTCATGCACATAAAATAAAAAGAAATATATCTTAAAAATAAATAAATAAGAATTCCATAATATCTGGTCACAAGTTACAGATAATATTTAACATTATGCAGTGTAGCCAGGATTTGAGTCCCTAAGGATGCTGGGCATTTCAAGAAGATACTACTAAACCTGCAAGTTCTAGAACAACAGAGGACTACATGTATAACTCTTGAGGCCAGGGCAGGAGGAGAAGGATTTCTGCCTTCAGCATCCCACTGCCAAGCCCATTAGCAGAGGAACTAGGGAAGCACCTTCCCAGGGACTGCTGGCCCCTCTCCTTCCTGGGTTTTGGCAAGGTTGACAGTCCTAATATTCTGTATTAAAAATACACTCTGAGGCCTTGATTCATGTTCCTGGGCCATAAGAAATGGAGGTCAAAGCCACTACCCCAGCCAGCTAGCCTTTATAATGTTCCATAGGCCCTGCTTTCTTCCCAGTTCTTTAAAATGTCTCAGGCTTGATCTTTGAAATGCCTATGGTGGTATTTTTCTATTGCAGAGATGTGGCATACCTACGGTAGCCTGTAAGGTAATGGTGAGTGTTCAAGCAGAGGCTGTGGCCAGTTTTCAGGGCTCTGCCTGAAGAGAAGGGCTAGGGCTGTGCAGTGCACTGTGGGCAGGTGGCTCAGTGAAGCAGTGTTTGATGACAAGTGTGACCCTTTTCTGTAGGAAGCTCCTTGTGGCTGTGCCAGAGCAGCAAGGACCTGTGTAGCATCAGTGCCCAGAGTGTGCAGTGCCGCCCCTCCACAGTGCAGTTGCCTCCCGACGCCGAGATGAGGACCTACGCTGCATGCCAGGATGCTCTGTGGGCCTTGGACAACCTTGGGCAGGTGTTCATCAGGACGCTTTCTAAGAGCTGCCCCACAGGCATGCACTGGACGAAACTGGACCTTACCCAGCTAGGTACGGCTAGTGTGTGAGTGCTTCCCTCGGGTGGAAAGTGGGTTTATGTGACGTATGTCAGTTGCTGGGTTTATAGCTCAAATGGCCACTTGCCAGGTTAAATGAGCTTCTTAAATTTGGGAAGGGGGGAACTTTACCTCTCTTACTCCTTGTGGTTTGTACTGCTCAGAACCACAAGAGCTGTAAGGTGTCCAGAAGGTGCCACTAAGATCTGCTGAAAATTATGACAGTCTTTTCTCTCTGATCTTTAAGTTTGAAATGGTGTCTGTGACCTGTGATTGAAAGAGCCCACTGTGGGCTGCTGCACACAAAGGTGCGTAGTGCGGCTTCTCTTTCAGTGGTTAAGGGGGTACTGTGCTGTTAGTAGTCACTTTTCTGTGACCTGTCCCAAGAGTTACAGTAGGCATAGCCTATGGTGACATGTGGAGACACTTCAGTCTAAGAGATGATAAAGTGAGCATACAATAGTATAGTCTCAGTTGACTCAGCAACTCAAATGTGGTTCATCTGATACTGGAGATAGAAACTATACCAGGCAGCTCTCAAGGTCAGAGTGAGCTTGAACTTCAATAGTACTGTCTAGGAACTGGACATTGTTGTACACTGACAACCAGTATTTTGTGGACTTGAATAAGTGTTTAATGTAAAATAACTCAGCTATATGAGAGAGGGTGGGGGAAGAGTAGGAAGGGCTGCTTCCTACATTAACCTATACATATCACCACCCTTGTAGTGGGCCTGGGCCAGGCCAGTGACTCTTAGCAATGGGGTTTCTGCAAACTGTTAGAAGAGATAAGGCCCTGAACATAACCCAGTCTGCTGTGAAAACTGCATGGCACCACTAGGAACTTCACAGGAATTGAGATCATTTATGCCTTGGGCTTCATACCTGTGTTCCAGGTCATCTATCTTTCCAAGGGCATTTGTCAGCCTGATAAGACTGCAGCTAGTTGTGGCCTGGATATGGGTGCCAGTTGAGCCTGTCTCCAGTAGTCTCTGCCAGACCGTGGAGAGAGGCTGTTATTATCTCTGAGAAAAACCAGGGTTTAGTGTGTATTCTCCTCACTACCAAACCTTGAGGTCTAGGGAAGTCTATGCTCATTCAGCTGGAAATGGAGTCATTTCCCCCAAATCAGTCCCTCCATACGGTCACCCCACCAGTTGTCACCCCATCCCAAAGGACCCCAGCGAATCTCCTGTCTAAATGTGAGGTGTCTCATCTTATTGTGGAAGACTCCTGGGCCTTTGGTTATAGCATTGGCCTGCAGGCTAGTGGAGTATGCACTTGAATCCCTTGATTTGCACCACCATATTGTATACTGAAGCCCTGCCTCTCTTAAGTCTCTCTATCTTGCTCTGTGGTCTCATTTGTTGTGTTATATGACTGATATATATATAATCAGTATATAAAAGAAATAGACTCTCGACACTATTTTCTCTGCATCCTGAAACGATGGCTTAAGTCTAGCTGGTAGGATTGGTGTTGGCCAGGGGATCAGACAGAACTTAATAGGAAAGGGGTTGGCCCTTATGCTAGAAGCCTTCCCTTGTGCCATTTAGGGCACTGAACTGTACCTGAGGGCACTAGGCTGTCCTGTACTGCATTCTCTCAAGGTATGGCTTGTGTATCCAGTAGGGAAAGCAGGTGTCTCAAGAGATAATTTTAGCCAGACATAGTGGCCCATACTATTAATCCCAGAACACATAGAGAATTCTAGGCAAGCCAAGGCTATACACAATGAGACCATGTCTCCAAACAGAGTCAGTTTATTATTTTTATTTTATGTGTATGGATGTTTTGCCTGTGTATTGTATACCACATTTGCACCTGGTACCCACGGAGGCCAGAAGAGGGCTTTGGATCCCCTAGAACCAGAGTTATAGATGATTATGGGTACTGGGAATTAAGCGTCTGGGAGAGCAGCCAGTGCTTTTAATCACTGAGTCATCTCTCCAGCCACAAGAAATATTTTTAAGTAGTTAATTAAGACCAGCAAGATGGCTCTGAAGGTAAAGGCTCTTGACAGCACACCTGATGACCTGCGTTTGATCCCTGGAACTCACATGGTGGAAGGAGAGAACCAACTCCTACTGGTTGTCCTTTGACTTTTGCACATGAACCACGGCACATGTGTACCCCCATCCAAAAGTGATGTCAGCCTAAAACCATCGCATCTGTCTCCTTTTCACCTTTCAAACTATGTGACTGCCAAAACAGTGGCTGCGCCTGTAATTGAGAGAGCTGAGGCATTAGCATCACCATTTCAAGGCCAGCCTAGACTAACAAAACAGAGCCACAGCAGCGGGGGTGTGTGTGTGTGTGTGTGTGTGTGTGTGTGTGTGTGTGTTAGTTAAGAGACTTATTAAATGGCTGTCAATTGAACCCAGTTAAAAAGGTGGAATATAAAATTTTACAGTGATTTATTACAATCCTGGTTTTTGGAAGAAAATGTGCATCACTTAGCAAATATTTAAGATGCTCATAACATTTCAGTTCTCATTATTCATAAATATGCATGTCAAATACTAGACCATTTAACAAACTAACACAATTTGTAGTTTAATTCATTTGGTCACAGTGTAATGAAAACATATTCAGTGTGAGTTTTGTGCCTTTAGGTCACAAATAAGATTATGCCATGCAATAATTTATATGGAAAGTGTTTTATAATTTAGGAAACAACAAGCAAATGCTACTATTATTAGTAGTAGTAGTATTATAGCACATACTTAAAAAGATTCTATAGTAGGGGACGGTGGAGCATTCATGCAATCCCAACTGAGGCAGGGCATGTGCAAGCTTGAGGATAGGCTGTGCTGTATAGTCATGCACACACACATACACACTTTCTTTAAAAAGCAGTTTTAAGAAGAAAGTGTTGCTTTTGGGTTTTGTTTTGTTTTGTTTTGTTTTTGAGAAAGGGTTTCTCTGTGTAGCTTTGGAGCCTGTTCTGGAACTCATTCTGTAGACCTGGCTGACTTTGAACTCACAGAGATTCTCTTGCCTCTGCCTCCTGAGTGCTGGGATTAAAGGCGTGTGTCACTACTGCCGGGCGAAAGTGTCTTTTTGTGAATAAAGTAACTAAAGCATTATCTCCTTGATTAAGCAAATCAAATGGAAGTTGTCAGGGTGGGCTCCCTCTCAGCCACAAGCCCCAGGCATCAGCAACTTTGGGGAGCTGACCAGCTTCCTGTTCCCATGGAGCACACTGGAGATCTCGGACGCCCTGGGTGCTTTGCTCTGCTGCTGCTCATCTTATCCCTTCAGGAGGAAAGAGCCGAGGAGGAAGTGCACTGACTTGATAGTGGAGCTGAGAAGTAGCAGGTCCCTCTTGTTTACTAGAACCTGTCACAGCTGCTAACTCTGCAGGAATGTGAGGAATCAAAGAGGGTTTGCAGGGAGGAGCTTCTGCCACCCTACCCTGTGGAACAGACTTAACAACATCTAAAGTAAAACCTTCTTTCAAAAACATAAGCCCTCAACTAAGTCGTGGTTGTCTTTAACCTGGTTCTTGGATTCTGAGTGTATTCTGAAGGGTGTGTGCTGTAGGCTTCATTTCCTCCAAATGCATATCTTATATGAACTCCTGTCTCACGGTAGTGTTAGCAGTAGTTATCAACTCGGAGAGGCCAGCCCAGTGTGCTTTTGTCCCCCATAGCTGGCCAGCTATACCTGAAGTTCTGCACTGGCAGATTATAGATTCAGCATAAAATTGTCATCGGTCTCAGCCTTTTGTACTGTATATTATTGTGGAAGTGCCTTATCATGGACTTCCCACATCTGACAACAGAACTCTAAGAAGTTCATCTTAACTCCTTGGTAAGACATCAAGGAAAGAAAAATACACTTTATCTTAGAATAAGAGAAATCATCAGGTTTAAGAAGTGTGCAAAAGCCGGGCGGTGGTGGCGCATGCCTTTAATCCCAGCAGAGGCAGGTGGATCTCTGTGAGTTCGAGGCCAGCCTGGTCTACAAGAGCTAGTTCCAGGACAGGAACCAAAAGCTATGGAGAAACCCTGTCTCGAAAATAAAATAAAAAAAAAAAAAGTATGCAAAAGGGTACTATCATCCTTTGGTATTCTGGGGTAATTGGTCCTTTCTAGATACTGTAGTGCAAGGATACACAAATCCCTTATATAAAATATTGCTGAATTTCCTATCACCTGTGTGCCTTACACCTTAAAGTCACCTCTGGATTACTCACAAAACCTAATACAGCACAAGTGCCGTGGGAAGAATTTTCACACTGCCTTCCTTGTTTAAGGAACAATAACAAGAAAACATCTGTGCATACAGGTCAGATCAGGTCAGTACAGCTTTTTCAGGTATATGTTTGTATATAGTGTGCACGTGTGGACATGTGTAATGGGCACACATATGCAGGGGCACATGAATATGTGGGGAGCAAAGGTGAACACTGGGTATCTTCCTTGATTACTCTCCACCTTAGATATAGAAGCAGGCTCTTTCATTTGAACCCAGAGCACACCGGTTTGATTGCTCTAGCCAGCTTGCTCCGGAGATCCACTGACTCCATTTCTAATGTGCTGGGCCACCACACTGGTCTAGCATTGATGTGCTGGGGATCCACACTCCAGGCCTCAACCTGTACAGCAAGCTTTTTACCCTCTGAGCCATTTTCCCAGCCCTTTTTTGATTTAATGTTTACAATAGTTAGTTGAAACTGTAGATGAGGAACCCAAGATACAGGGACATTTCTGACAATTGTTGTGTAGGAAGGAAGAAGTGGTTAAAGCTTATGTCATGAAGGTAGCTAACTTTCCACATGGCAGACCTGCTGTGTTCTGATATAGTCACAGGGTTGTCCACAGCATTGCCAGTTGAACTAATGGTGCCATCTTTTTGCCATGCACACAGGTCAAAATGACTCAACAAAATTAAAAACTTCTCATCAGACAATAATTAAGAAAATGACGGAGTAAGCCACTCATAGCAAACATGCTTGGCAGACTTGCATCAAGACCATGCGGAGAACTCC